CAGACACAATGAATGAGCGCGCTCTTGAGGGAGACGGGTTGAAAGATAAGAACAGGCCGGGTTAGGTATGGCGGCTGGAGGCTTTGAGGTCTTGGAAGTCTTGGGATTTGCGTAACTACCTTATCTCCCTCTCTGCCCGTGTGGCACAGGCGTCATCAGCCTAGCCCTGGGCTTCCGACAGTGAGGTGGTGACTGTGGTGGAAAGTGCCGGCCGCCTCACAATGTGGGATGATTGGATCAGGATTGCAATCCGGCAAGGAAGGAGACAGCCACTGCACTGGATGCGCAGCAGAGAAGTGGAGGACGACACGAATGAGAAGTGATAGAAAGGTACGTCAGCCAATACCCATTCCGCTTCTATTTTCTTCCACGCTGACGTCTTTCGCGAGGTTGCGGCCTAACAGAGCATACTGATTTTCGTAAGTCTCGCCGTGCCCGCGCTGGAAATATGTACCCGTCGTCCCGTCGTGTCTAAATGCTGCTTCCCAACTCGTCTATGGCGGGCCGGGTGCCAAGACATGGAACTTCTCTCTTGAACCCTCGCGGTCGGATCCACTGGCCCTTGATACCGGAAAACATCAAACGCACAGAACTGGAAGAATGACGATACATGCCAGAAAGGGTGCAACATGAAACAAGCAGTGTTGCTACCCTCGCACGCCTCGCTGGGTGATATGTAACGGCCGGGCCCATTTGTTCCCAGACCCCTTGTCTTCCAGGAACAAGATGCTAACACATTTCGACAAGTCGATGTAGTAGCATCTGGACCGTTAGAGACTCTTGAAAGGCCATATCGACGTTCTAGTAATACGGTGTACATACTATACTGGCAGTGTGCTCTTTTCAGATGCTCATTCAAATTTCGGTTTTGGGGCCGATGCTTTGTGAGTCCAGGTTTTAGTTGTTGCATCTGGATTCCTCCAATGACGCGGGGTGAGGTTCATGATAAGAAGTCGTATTTCCTGCTGGGTCTTGCGCCGCACATGCGGCCCTTCGGACTGGCTGAGAGGCTGCACCTGTCACATCATCGATCTTTTGATAGACGGGAAACTTGGTATCTGATGAACGATGTCGATTGGAAACGCATCCGATATGATCCCGCAGTGTCAATAATCAGCAAACCCATCACCAAGACGCAGGGCCTTCGAATAACGGAACAGACCAAGGCATTCTCGCAGTTTTTGGTAATGACACTGCCGGATATCTCGTGTTGCTGTCTGACACTATTGCGAGGTTCATCGCCATATAGCTCGGTGTTTTTGTTAGCGGTCATGCTGTGTTCCTTTGTTGGACCCTGGAGCTTACAGCTCGCTCTTCTTCCACACGGTGGTTGCGCATACGTAGTGGATGTCAACAGGTCTTGATAGCAGACTTATTGTGTAACAGGATATGGAAATGAACGGAGCAGCATAGCCATGTCGACATCAGCGCGGAGACCAACCGACGCTTATGGTACATGGTAGTTGATATGCGCTGATGGGTATCCAAACGGCGATGCTTTGTACGCTACGATTAGCGTGTTGTTGGGCGTGTGATCGTACAGAGATGGAAGTTGACATGCGCTTCGTTTCTACCTCAGACACGGGATCGTCGGCGCAAGAGAGCTGGTGTTTGCAGATCGCAGCGTGTTTCGTGTACACTGCTGTGGTAGAGAATCCGTGAAGAAACCCCGACTTTGACGTGCACCCTCGTCAAGACACACTGACAAAGTGGGCAATCCGTATGCGCAACTACATGGATGCCATTCTCAGTTTGACCATACACTTCACTCGAGGTCGAACATCTTTGTACTTCGTTTTTCCCATATAGACTGCACCCAATAGCCTGCCGGGCTATATTGTGCTTCCTCAATCACAGCATAGCGTTGGGCAGACTGTCCTTCGCTTGATCCTGATTTTGGCAATACCGCTCTCTTGCCATGACGCAAATGCCAGCCATGAGCGTCGGTCAATGCCATCACAGCCCAAAATCATCGCGAGCCCTATACACGTGTCTCACCTCTAGTACCCTAGCGGCAAAGACTACTACAACCTGCGCTTGGAGATGCCATAGACAGCAGTAGCCGTGGCACACGGCAGTCACATTCACCACCAGTACGAGAATGCATCGTGTGCGGTAGATGCGATACACTTTCAACCAAGCCCGGGCAGGGCAGTGGTCTAGTTCCTGGCCGACTTGCTGCTGTCTGCTGTCAATAGCTCCCGTCGTAGCATGCAAGTTTGCGCGAAACACGGCTCTTGCTCACTCCCACCATCCCGATGCAGATGGGTACACAACCATAGCCCACCAATGCCCCTCCTCTCTCCCCTGGAGGTGAGTTGGTTGTTTGGCTGGCTCTCGCTGGCTGGCCTCCCCAATCCCGACCAGGCAGGATTCAGGAGACAACGTCATAGCCAGATTTCTCAAGATGCTTAGCTCCTCAATTGCCCCACTTTCCTTTCTAAAGCATGGAAATTGCTAAACACCAGCGGGACCAGGGGATGCGGTATCTCCAAGTACCATGCCGACTTTTGGCACCAACTGGTGTACCAGCCCTTCCCCTGCCATTGCCCATCCCCATCGCGGAGTGTACGGCATCCGGGTGAGTTTGGGAGTCTGAACATGGCATTCTCCCGAGTGCCGAATACCGTACCTGACTCGACGACATGATACTTGTCTTCCATGTCAAATCTAAACGGGAGCCCAAGCGGCAGTCTCTGATAGATATGTCTGCTGCTGCTATTGTTTCTTCCTTACCCAGTGCCGTCGTGCCTTTTCTGTTTATATGCAGAAAATGTTGTGGCTAAGCCAGGAAGTACCTGCGATACACCTACTGTGTTGCGAGTCGTAGAACCTTGGCAAATCCCCTGCAGCACATGGTTTGCCCAGTCTTTCCCGTCCCTTTTCCATGTAGAGTAGACCGACCTCTTTGTTGACGGTCTGTGTGTGTCCGGCTCGAGCTAGCAGCGAAGGAGGATAGTGTATATGCCCGTAGCTAACTGCGCAGTAGTTTATAATCAAGACCCGGTCAGGTGCCCGCGACTCCGCGGACTCGGCTGGAGCAAGCTCCGTGCATTGGCGGACCAATACCAGCTTCCTCAACGTTGAATGGTCGGAAAGGAAAGACAAAAAAAAGATGTTTGTTGGGCGAAGCGATTCTGGGACTTTTTCCTTGGAGAGCGCTAGCTTGGATGATGGAGGCACTATTCTCGGCGTATCCCACGACATTCCCTCTTCTGTGTCTCCAGCCCCTGCGAGCTTGGAGAACCGAATGCAGACGGATGGAGAATTTGGAAGTGGAAGGCATGGACCACGTAGAGGGGCGTTTTTAGCAAATTGCGGAGCAAAGCCCCTGCTCCGTACTGCTCGGCGTCTGCCCACCTGCAGCGCTTTTTGAGGTGCCCACTGCCCGCCCACTGAAGTGGATGAGGTGCCCGCCGGCAGCAGTACCTGACCTTCCAGCTTGGGAACCTCGAGTGACTTCAAACCAAGAAGTTGGTGAACAAAGTAAAAAGTCCTACTGGACATCCAATCCCGCTGCCCACCAGCCAATGTCGATACCACCTCAACCTCCATTACCTTTTGTCTCCTCTTACTTAGGTACTTCCCTACTTTAGCTGGACTGGATCTTGGACCGGGTTCATACCGGCTCGACCTTCACACTCCGCCGCCGGGCACTACCTACTTTGACTAGTACGCTGTCTTTCTTTTTCTTCCTCTTCCTCCTCTTCCCCTCTATATTCCTATCTCTGTTTGAAGTAGGGCATTGCTTCCAACCTCCCTGCCCCACTGTTCACGAACTTGCCAGTCTCAGCTGCCGCTGTTCTTCTTGCAGGGTGTCCAGAGCTCTCTACCATCGTACCCAGTTCGCACCCGCGTTACTAGCTCACTTTTCTATTTGGCCTGCCCGCTCACTCGTCAAACTATAGCAGGCCCGCCGTCGTAGCGTCGTGCTTTGTCATCGGTTGCGAACATCGTCACCTTGCAGCTCTTCGCGAGACCAGACCAGAGCCAGATCTTTGGACGTTGCGCTTTCGATTCTCTCTTCTCTGACGCCCTTTTCCCCCTCCTACAAAACTTCAACCAAAACTTCTCCCCTTTGACGACGACTACTATACCGACCCAACCTCGAGTCCGAGTAACCCCTCTCGACCAAAACACGTTTGCCTCGATATATACTTTGCCCCGCCTCTTCAAAGAGCCGCTTCAGCATCAATAGCTTGCGCCGCAATATTGCTAAAGACCTCCCACCGTCCAAGGGTTTGGCACTTGCCAGCAGCATACAGAATCAGTACCGCTTAGCGCTCAAGAAAAACTTCTTGTCGCCACCATGTCGGACCACGACCCCGATCACGCCCCGGCTAGCCCGAACGAGTATGACGATGAGAGCAACCCGGCTTCTCCGGGCTCAGTCGACGAGTCGTCAGAAGCAAGCACGCCCATGGACCCGCCAAGCTCAGGTTCAGATGCGATGCCTGGCTTCGCACCAGAAGCCGATCTGGCCCGCAGAGTGCCATCGCTACGGACCATCTCCGACCCACAAACGACTCTGATGAACCCCAGTTCGAGTGTTCCTGGGACACTGAATGCCGCCCGAAGACCTGCGGCGTCCGCGGCAAACCTTCCAACGGACCTCATGGCAAAGGCACGGGCTCTACATCAACAACGGATGGGCATGGCTCCCAGACCTGGCATGTCGCCCCAGAATAGTGGACTGGGCATGAGCCCCATGGGATCAGGTATGGGAGGCATGGGAGGCATGGGAGGGATGGGAGGCATGGGAGGCATGGGCGGCATGGGTGGCATGGGAGGGATGGGACACAGCATGAACTTGAACATGAACAACATGAACCACGGTGGGCCGGCACCAGGTGGCCTTCGGTTACCGCAAGGCATCACACGACCACCACCCCAAGGCTTCCCCAAATCCGCACCTGCTATCTCTGGTGTGGGCAAAAAAGCCCCCAGTCTGAGCGAACGGCGAGCAATGAAGCTCGGAGGGTTACCAGGAGTGCCTGGGTCACCCGCGGGTGGCACGCCGAAACTCTCAGACATGGGTTCCGATGACTCCAAAGCGCCAGCCATTAATGGAGAAGGCCGCGGGTCGAAGCTGAGCGATTTCAAGAACTATATCGACGCAGAGAACGGGTGGATCACTTTTGCAGATGCAGCAACTATCACACGGACAGGCGTCAATTTCGCCAACGGACAGACCTTCAAAATCTCGCTAGACGAGGTAGAAGTTATGGACGAGCTAGGCAAGGGCAACTATGGTACCGTCTACAAAGTACGACATACTAAGCCCAAGCTCCCACGCTTTGGACAAGGCTTGAGCAACAAGCAGTCGTTATCTCGACAAGCATCGGCGTCAGATGCTGACGTTTCTGATAACTCCCCACTAAGTCCTGTTGCTGCCGCTTCGCGTGGCACTTCAGGCAAGGTCATGGCTATGAAGGAGATCAGGCTCGAACTGGACGAGTCCAAATTTTCCACCATTCTCAAGGAACTCGTAATTCTTCACGAGTGCGCCTCGCCCTTCATCATCGATTTCTACGGTGCCTTTTACCAAGAAGGCGCGGTATACATGTGCATCGAGTACATGGACGGCGGCAGTATAGACAAGCTATACGCGGGAGGGATCCCCGAGAATATCTTACGCAAGATTACATATGCGACGATTATGGGTCTTAAGTGCCTGAAAGAAGATCACAACATCATCCATCGCGATGTCAAGCCCACCAACATTCTGGTCAACACGAATGGACAGGTCAAGATCTGCGATTTTGGCGTTTCGGGCAATCTCGTTGCCAGTATAGCAAAGACCAACATTGGCTGCCAGAGTTACATGGCACCAGAACGCATCAGCGGTGGTGGCATGTCAGCTGCGGGCGGCGCGGCCGACGGGACTTATAGCGTACAAAGCGATATTTGGAGTTTGGGTCTCACCATCATCGAGTGTGCCATGGGTCGGTACCCGTACCCGCCTGAGGTTTCTAGCACAATCTTCAGTCAACTCAGTGTAAGTTATCCTTGTCATCCCTCATCAAGACACCCAAGCTAACCTAGTCAAATTCTAGGCCATCGTTGAGGGTGACCCTCCTGACCTCCCCGCTGATGGCTACTCCGGCACGGCAAAGGACTTTGTCAAGTCCTGTCTCAACAAGATTCCTGCCAAGCGCCACACATACCCGATGCTGCTGATGCACCCCTGGATCAAGTCCCTCGGCAGGCCCGAGACCATCGCGGAAGAAGTAGAAGCCGAAGAGAAGGCCGCCGATGACCAGCTCGCCGACGCCACCGGTACTCTCGACATCAACAGCAACGGACCGATCAACGACCATGGAGATCGTGAGGTGGCTGAGTGGGTCACCAACGTCCTGGACCGAAAACACAAGGGCTTGCTCCCTGGTCAGGTTGAGAAGCCGGCTCTCCACGCTGCGCCGCTGGATCAAGTGAGCCCGGGTATTACGGTTTAGATGAGTTGTGGTCGATCTGTCTGTCTGTCTGTTTGTGCGACTCGGAGGCTAGTTGGTTTATTTTCTCATTTTCCTTTTCTGTCCACTTGTTCATTCATAGCGTGTGTACAATCATACAAGTACAAATAAGGGGGAAGGAAGGACGAGAGAAGGGTAGCATGGGCATTACTGGGATTCAAGTACACGATAGAATCCGGAAATTTCCGTGGGGGGTTTTGTTGTTTTATCTATCCATCTATATCACAATTTTTTTCCACCCTGGTGATTTTGATTCAGTGATATGAAGTCAAGTTGAGTAAGGTCTATGAACGACGAACGGCGGTCTTTCACCCGGAGAGGATCACTGATTTCTCCCCTCCTTTAGGTACGTCAAAAGAAATCGGTTCCTCAAGATGCCACCGCTATAAGGACCGTCTATATCGCATACTTACTAGCATGTCCTGTCATCGATATTTCAAACACTCGGTTCTGTAACCACCACAACCTCGTTTTAACACACAATGACAACCACCCATCAACCGATAGGCCTACGAACTGGATAAATGAATAAAATATATCAATAAATTAGGTGAAAAGGATTATCAACGCCTAAAGACGTATGGTAAACACCTGAGAAGAAGAGAGAGGCTCGCGCCTCATACAAGTATATCAGTCTTTTTACCCTTCACTTCCTCCCCCTTCCTGGTCGAAATTCAATACGGAAGATACAGAAATCCAAGCTATAAACCAAACATCTCATTCCCGCTAAAAGGTAAAGGTATCAATCATTTCATTTCATCATTACGAGACTTTCCATGCAGTTCTGTCTCTCATCGTGGCTATCTGTTCCACATATTCGTCCGCCCACGGCTCACCAGCAAGTCTTCCTTCTCTTTTTCTGATAATTTTTTTCTTTGTTTGTTTGACTTACGCAGCCAAATCCAGCCTAGCAGGTCTCGCAGGTCGATATGCCGCACGAGGGTTCGAATGATCCACGGTGTTCGTTCCCAACGCCGGACCATCACCACTCATCCCGGGCGCCGGCGATGGCGTTATCATCGGGTTGTTGGCATCTTTCGTGCATGACAATTTAGTAATCATCCTTAACCCTCCGTCCGTCGTAGGACTTGCCACTGTTGCTGCGGCGGCCCCAGCCACCAAAGAACCCTCTTCTCCCACCGGTGCCCGTGGTCGCGGGGCCGTCGGCAACAACGCGATCGTGACCGTCGGTGGCATAAGTGGAGCGGTGGTTGTTGTAGCGGTTCTTGTCGCGCTGGAGCATGGCGAGAAGGAACAGAACGGTGCTGATGGCGAGCGCAGCCCAGGAACCCCAGGAGAAGCCGAAGGCATAGCGGCCCAGGTGGGCGTCGCGGCCGTCGCGGGTGAAGTGGTTGCGCATCTTGACGAAGGTAGCGCTGTGATTTTCGTTAGTTATGTGCGCGTTAACTTGTTTGTCGAGTATCTACTTGGGCGTGAGGAGGAAGGAGGAAGGGGAAGGACAGGGGTAGCAACAGGTGGGAAAGGAGAAATAAAACACCCCAAAAAATAATCAACATACGTCATCAAAGAAACAGCAACACTCAACATAACCAACGCCAACGAAGCCATCATTGCCGAAACCAGAGCGCCAATGCGTCCCAAGCAAGCCAAGAAGCCCGAGAAGAAGGCCAAAGTCTCGAAGAAGAGCGCCATGAGGAAGAACACCCAGCCGAAACGCCACATGTACCAAAAGTAGTGGCTGGTCGTGTGTCCACCATATTTTCCAGTGAGCCCATCGGGGGCACCGGAAGGGTAGCTGTCCCAGGCATCACCGAGAGGGAGAGCAGGACGCGCGGGACCGCAGTCCCGGTTGTTGAGACCGCACACCTTGAAATAGGTCCATTGCGAGACAGCGCGGGCGCCGCTGATGCCGCTGGTGTCGGCGCGGAGGAAATAAGTTTGTCGTAGGGGTGAGGTCCGGGTGATTCCCGAAAGGATGACGAACCAGAGGAGGACGAGGGAGATGGCGAGGAAGAGGAGAGATAGAATGGCGAGGAGGGGGCCTGTTTTTTTGTGTAGAAGGTGCGGTTAGTTACCTATTTGAGATGTATGCGGTTGATGGTTGTAAGCGGGATGGCTGGTAGATATCAACTTACGAGTTCTGTTCATCTTGAAGAGCGGTCCGCAGACGATTTTAGGTTGATAATAATGGTTGTAACAAGAAATTGTAGGGTATTATTAGGTTTAAAGGTTATAAACGCTGTTATAATAGCGGTGTAAGTGTTAGTCGAGATATCGGTGAGAGGAGGGGGATCAAAGAAAGTGGAAGAGGGGCCCGGATCGAGATCGTCAACTTACGTCGTTGATGCAGTGCACCTTTACTTGCACCACCTTATAGATGGAAACCACGTCCTAGAGAGTTGGCTGAAAGAAAATTGACGGATATGTGCGCCGGGTCGGGTGTCTGAAGGGAGGCTATAAAAGCCGAGGAAATGACAACAGATCAAGAGTAGTTCTACCACCCAACGACTAAAATTACCGTACTGAGAAACGGCTCTGGGGTATCACAAGGTATTCTTTTTTTTTGATTGGAATAAAGCTCAAGAAGATCGAAATAGATGACAGGAAATTTGTGCGGCTGGAGGATTTATCAAGGGATGGATTGTGGGAGAGAGGTCAAAGATGATGGAAGTAGGAAGGGTCTCGCACCCACACACCGACGTACATACGTACACATCCCATTTCCATCCCTCTCATTGACTCCCAAGCTGAGCTTACCTCTACCCTACCCACTGATCACCAAAAGTGAACGGATCAGAATGAAGGCTTTGCGGTTTGTCGAAGAGTGACAATCATCAGGTCTACTTGGTTGGTGGGGACCAACGGACGATGCATGACGCAGCGCCCAGAAAAGGCCCAGAGGCAGAATGGATGGCCTGCCGGGACCATCAAGTGCTGTTTGCGGGAACCCGCTCCTGCAGTGCAGCAGCTGTGGCAGCAACGATCTGGCTGGACGCCACTGCCACCCCTCCCAACTCCCAAGAGAGAAAGCAGCAGAAAGCTCCACTCATCTCTCTTAGCTTTTGTACTTTCCTCTTCCCTCTGGCCAATCAGTAGACTTTTATGAACAGAAACCTCCACTTAACGCGTGCACGAAAAGCACTGACCACCTCATCTTTCCGTCATGGACTGGACCCTTTTTCTCTCCAAGTCCACCGACGTCATTCCTCTCTGCTCTTTCATCGAAGCGAGTCCAGGTCCCCCGCATCGGGATTGGTGACAGACGGCACAGCCTTCGGAGTAGAGAAATCAAACCACGCCGCCAAGCTACCAATGTTGGATGATATCAAACTCCGAATGGGAGACATTCATATGATCTTCGCTCCATCACTTCACACGGAAAACAATTTTTTTTTTTTTTTTTAAAAAAAAAACTTTCTCGGCTTTCCTTTTTCGCCCAGAAGCTGGGCAGGTGGTACAGTCAAGACCCTAGCAACTCCCCCCCCCCCCCCAAACTGCAAACCCATACAAATTTACCTAGTTAACGCAAGCCTCTCCGCTGCCCGGATTCCCAGCTTTGTATGTAAGTCAGCCCCCAGTAAGTGCAAATTGCCCAGTTAGTGCAAAGATTTTGAGCCGTCCCCATAGTGCACCAATTGTTTGCAGTTGCTAGGATCTTGACTGTATGATGAACACAGAAGAATGGTTACACTTGCCGAAGCCGACGAGATGACAAGCCATCTGCCAAGGAAAAGGGAAGAAACTGACTGACGAGACAAGACATTACTAAAGAGAGTCAGTCGGTGATGTCGTACACTTTCTTGAGGGAATAACTAAAGTCGTGACAGTTTCGAGAGTGTCGAGAGGCATTTTAGATACAGTGTTGGCAGGTTGACAAGTTTTTCAACCCAGCGAACGAGACGGCCCGGACGCAAGTGATGTTCAGGTCAAACCGACACCCAATCTGACACTGATTGCTGCCCTCGTGGCCAGCTTTTGGTTGAACATTGTGGAACACGGTAGAAGTCGTGTTTCTGTGCAACATTTCCTTTGGCGTTTAACAAGTCCGACCGACCGAAGAAGTTTGTTTCTTGGACTCGTCTCGTTCCGTCCAAAGTCATCTTTTTGGATGAAACCTTACACCGATGTGACTAACCACGGAGATCACAGTTTAGACAAAAATTTTGGGGCTTCCATATGAACTGGTTTTTGACAAGAAGACAGATTTGCTACAAAAATCAAAGACCTGGAGATACACAACAAAAACGCAACTTTGATTGACTGCACGTAAGTTGGCGGTATAAAGTACCTACGTATCCTTCAGGCAGGTGTTACCGACATGATGCGCATGCAATCTGGAAGCACATCTGGCACGTGCAAGAGGAATGGAAGTCAATCCCACGTATGCAGCGTACCACAGCAACTTGGTCGATCTCATTTGATCGTGACAAGATCAATCTCGACCACATCTTGGAAAACAGCGCCGTACCTTATCCGAAGCACCAGGATCCCAACCCACATTGTTCACTCATACACACTCTCCCCCTGTATTCCAGTAATTCATATCATCTCTCATCAGTCATTAACTTTTCGCTATACGTAAAAGGGACGATATATACAGGAGAGAGAAAAAAGGAAATCCAAAAAGTACCTCCAAATCTCCTACACCGAAACACACCATAGGTATCCAACTAACCTCGCACATCACCAAACCACCACTACCGACTATTGCTCATACAACGCTCTCAACAGCGTCCTCAACCTCCTCTGCTTCGGCACCGTAGCCCTCCCCTCCTTCCTCACAAACACCTGTCCTACCTTCTTCTCCCTCAACACCCTTCCAATCTCCATATAATTCTCCACCGCGCCAATCATAGGGCCCCTTGCCTCGCTCGGTATCTGCTGCATCTCCGGCCTGGCCTCCCTATACAGCTCAAACGCATTATCTAGCAGCCGTCTCCTCATCTTCTCGATAACCTCAGGACCCTCCGGGTTATCCAAAACCGCCTTATGCGTTAACCCTTCCTCCTTGAGCCAGCTGGTGGGCAAGTACACGCGTCCGATCTGGGCGTCGACGAGGATGTCGCGAGCGATATTAACGTACTGCAGCGCGATACCCATGCGGCACGCTGCAGACTCGAGCCGGCGCTTTTGGGAATCTGACATGTCCGGCAGGCAGTGGTGGATTATGAGGGCGATACAGAGCTCGCCGACGGTGCCGGCAACGCGAATGGCGTAGGTTTTGAGGTCCTTGTCGTGGGCGATGGGGAATTTGAGGTTGGTGGAGTCGGAACTGCCATGGAAGGTGAATTGGGAGTCCATCTCAAAACCCTTGATGAGCTCGTAGAGAGGCTTGGGAGGGAGGATGTGAGTGGGTAGGAGGTGGAGGGCTTGGTAGGCAAAGGGAGGGAAGGCTTCTTTGATGTAGGCGTCGATGCGCTCGGCCTTTTGCTTGGGGTCTTCGGTGGCGTCCGAGTCGCCATAGTGCTGATCGAGAAAGTGGTTAAGCTTCGCGGTCCAGGACAGAACCTCGAGGCGAGATTTGGCGTCGTCAACCAGATCATCAGCTAGACGGCAGAAGGAATACCTGGAATGGTCTGTCAGTACAACATTTCGAACGAAGGGAATGTTGATTCAGTACTTACAGCAGAATCAGATCGATGCGAAGGCGGCCAGAAAAAAGGGAGTTGGCAAGGTAGAAGCTCCTGCTCTTCAGACGAAGTCTCTCAACTGCTTCTCTCAGGCCTTCAATGCGCTCAAGGTCATACTTGGTAGTGTTGACAAGACGGCTCTGAACAAGCATAAGAGGTGTCGGATACCGGTTGACCTTGGGGAACAGAGTTGGGAAAGCGTAGATGACGGCGAGATATTGATCAAACACAGCCATGCCACTGACGATGAGCATGTTGGTCACCAGAAAGAAGGTGGCTTCTTCGATGTCCAACTTGCCGAACAGACAATACTCGAGCTTCGTCCCCGACCCGATGGACCAAGTACCCCTGTGCAAAGCAAGCTCGTCTACTGCCCAGAGATAGAAGGTAGGCAGGACTACCGGAAGCACCGTCACGAACCATGGTAGGCTGAGAATGAAGCGCCCAGCAAGCGTCCAGATGGCCAACAAAAACGGACAAGCCCAAACCAGGATCAAGCCGAGATAAGTTGTTTTCTGGTTAACCTGAGCAGCCTTCCATCCCCATACCGACAAAGCTACGAGGATGAGCTGGCCGGTAACCTTGGCAATCCTCATCCATGCTGGAGGATTTCGCTGGTTGTTGAGGTGTAACGCGTGGAGAACCGGTTTGTTGAAGAGTATGTATACGAGGGCCGTGATGTAAGTCTGTATCACGAAGAAGAAGAGTTCTTCGAAGGGGATCCCAAGCAAACGCGGTCCGACAATGGCCTCTGGCGGGTAAGACCATACTTTTTGCTCAATCAGGTAGGCATCCCATGGCAGAGCAGCGGTAAAGGCGATGAAGATGAGGCAGCCTGTTTGAATGACATGTATCCTGTTGAGAACCGGATAGGCGATGGCTGTGAGAAGTACCGCCAGGGGTATTGTGAATTTCAGGTGACTATGATGCATCTAGTCAGCAACGATGCTTTCCAGGACTAATGGGTGGTGGCTTTCAAGTCTGTTACTCACACAAAAGCGTAGTCGTACATGTTGGGCAGTCTTGATAGCTTGTTGGAGCTATTGCCCTATAGAACCGAAAGTGTGCCACAAGTGGGATCTGGACCTGGAAGCCTATCTTTTTTCATAAGAGATGAAGCAAGACCTGTGCATATGAGAAAGAAACCTGTGGAGGTTGGCGTTGGCGTCGATCTGGCTTTGTCTTGTCTGGGAGGGGTCCGGATGGGGGACGGTGCTAAGAGAGGCAACCCGACACGTTGAATGAGACCAGAGCTGAGACTCTGATAGAACAGTCTCTTGAGAGAAGGGAAGAAAAACAGGCTACTTCAGACATTTCTGGGACAACGGAATGGAGAAGAGAATCAAGCCGGCCGGAGACTTTTGGAACGGCCAGTCGGCCACATCGACCAGTTCCAGAATCCGAGATCGTTGGGACTTCCATGATTTCCAGATCCAGAGGCGAGGAGAAACATCGGAAGCGTGTCCGCTCGCCAAGCATTGAATGGGGAAGTTGGCAGGCTCGGTAGGGCCAGCACGCCAACGGAGTCTCGCGGATAAACAAAGAAAGGAACAACAATAAGGTAGGTAGGTATTATGATTGCTTCATGCCTGGGAGCCCAACTAGGGTGACAACCCTCCAGCTTGGCTCTTTGCGCTGAGTCCCATTCGGTTCGTTGCGCTGCATACACAGTACGCTGTGTGTCGAGCAAACACTGCCGCTCTCACCTAGGTAAGCATCCCCAAGCAAGACGTGCAGTCGTGATGTCATGTCCGGCATACACAAGCATAGATCTGCTGCGGATTTGACAGACAGAACTGAAGCAAAGCCCTGTCATCTGAACAATAGAAGCACGGTACCTGACTTCAGGAACGCGTTCGCTTAGGTATGTGCTTGAGCTTTGGATGACAGCCCAGGGCGAATTCGTTACTCGATCCATCTGATCTCTGGGGTGTGCTCGGCTGTCGACAGCTTCGTGCGGCGATCAGAGATATCTTGCATAATCAAATACAGGACCTCGAGGTATCTGACGCGCAATATCTTGCGGAGACCAGAGAGCGGTACTGAGACGGCCGGCCATATTGTGTAAGCGATGGGGTGTGATGACTGATGGGCGGTTGAAGCTGAGGTTGGTGATCGTGAAAAGAGGTTGTCGTCGATTGAGATCGCAGAGAACCCTGTCATCATCGGGAGCACAGCATCGAACTTTCAGGCACAAGTGGAAGCTGCTGTCTTTACAGTGGTGGATCTCCCTGGAGCCCTTGATGTACAATGCACGGACCCTTGCCGAGACGGCAGCCCCAAAAAATCCGGGGATTGGCCAATCACAAGAGCCCCTTCCGGCGGCGGCTTGGTCGTCGCAAGTCAACCGCAATTCACCTTCGACCCGGACTCGGCAACTGCAACACCATCGCGACCCAATATCACCACTCAGGACAACCCCTCTCTTCGGTCTCATCCAGCCACATCCAGCCTCGGCATAGACAGGGCGCATCTGTAACTGAAAGGCCCAGAACACTCTGTGAACCCGGAACCCTGGGACCAGCACCCTGAAACACCGTGGCCGACATCGTGCCCCTGGATCGTCGCCGTGGCTGCCCTGACTCCGCGTCCCCTCCGTCGTCATCCCGTCTCCCGCATCACAGAAGCGAAAAGGGTGGTCAGTGACCGTTTCATAGAAAGAAAGCATGGCTTCCAGGATACGGTACAGCCCTCAGCAGCAGCGCCGGGCTTTGGCCATGGCACTTGCGCAAGCCTCAGCAGCCACTCCCCGCGCCTCTCTGATCGGATCCAGAGCCTTGGTTTCACAGATGGCATCATGCAGAACTCTTCCAACAGCACCTTGCTCATCAGTAACACGTCAACTCCGGCTCCTTTCGACTTCGCAACCATGGCGCCAAATCCAGCCGCCTCAGCCACAACCCATATACCCCCAGAATTCCTATCCACCACAGGCTGAGCAGCCCACCCCTCAGCCCAAGAAGCGTAGTCGCGTATGGAAGATCCTTGGCTATGGCTCTTTCCTCTTTTTTGGCCTCACCGCGGGCCTCACCTTTAGAGCGTTCGTCGCTCCCCCGCCACCTCTGACTCCGGGCTCCCAGCTTGACCTCCTGGAGACCAAGATCATCCACCGGCGAGCGGAAGACCTGCAGATCGTCAAGGAGCTCAGCGCCGACCCGGCCTGGGAGTCCTGGGATGCGTATGAGACGCTCAGTCCGGAGCACCGGGCACAACACATCTCGGCCGGCGCCCTGGCCGGCGCCAATGGCATCGGCGGCTACCACCGCGTCTGGTACAACAAGGAGACGGGCGAGTGCGTCAGTGTCATCTTCTTCGGCTTCGCCACTACGGGCTGGCCCGGCGTCGTGCACGGCGGCTGTCTGGCGACTCTCCTCGACGAGAGCTGCGGCCGAGCCGCGTTCAAGAAGTGGGGAGACCGGTCCGGACTGACGGCCAATTTGCAGCTGAACTACGTGTCGGCCACGTATTCTTCAAAGTTCTACATTATTCGTGTCAAGCCGAGGAGCGATGAGGAGCTTCCGGGGGAGGAGCGCGGCAAGAGCCACTACAAGATCTATCTGGATGCTTCGATACACGAAGCGAGGACGGGCAAGGCCGCCGTTGTTGCGGAGGCTTTGTTTGTGGGTGGAATGGGGAAGAGTGGAAAGGGAGGGTTGACGGTCAGCGGGTTGGCTGATCAGGGTGAGAATGCTCGCTTTTAAAAGTGGGATCGGGAGATGTTTTAAACATATTGCATAGTCATCTGTCTTATCACCAGGCTGTGCTGCTTCTCTAGATCCCTTGGGAGCGTGCTCTTGCCATGGTTTCCGTTTGTACTTCATTAGACAGTAGAGATAATTGTAGCAGGCATATAGACTGCTAGACTTGACGGAGAGGTGTTGGATTCAAAAGCCTGACAAGATCACGAACATCTTGCACTGACCCGTATAATTCTCGCTCAGCCTTGGCTTCAATCTTATCTTTCTCTCTCTCTGGGGTCTGAATCTGGTTGCTCCATAACTTCTTCCGCTTACATACACAAGCAACATCCAAACACTACCCATATGAGAAAACTCCTCACCCAGCCCCTACACTAGTTCGTCTCGATGAAAAATCCCTTCCATGCACCGTGCAAGTATCTTATGATTGACAGAAGTACCATATCATCCCATCCTTAGATCTCCCCGGGGGACATTCAACCCTCTCCTCATTCACTGGGCCCTGCCTTGTCCTGCTTCACTGTGTCCGCTTTTAGTTGTTTTGTGTTGGGGAGTTGATTTGATAGTTGACGGGAGTGTGGGCTACGGTATCCAATAGCAAGTCCGCAACTCCGTAACCCAACCCTTATTTTAGTCTCCCGGAGACTTTCACAACCGGAAGCAGTGTCTTCCGCAAACACTAATTTTAGTGAAGTTGATTTATCAGCTAGTGACTCTGGAGTGCTGTTCAGACTGTTCGCCTTGGTTGGTTTCGTTCTCTTCATTTTCGTCTTTCGGTTTCCACTTTTCATGTGGTCGCCGAACAGTGGAAAGGGTTGTTGAGGACCGGACCGGACCGCCTCTCTACTGTACCTTGTAGGTCTAAAGGACAGTTCATCTTCACACCGAATCTTTGACTGACACGGTGAGTGACGAATTCCGCGTCGGGTTGGGGGGAGTGCACTCCAGTGGGGTTTTGCGATCCTTTGGTCTGGAGGTACTAAGCCAAGACATTCTTTCCCTTTCCAGTTCCCACTGCCCTTTCCACTTCCAGGTTCCAACAGTGAGTTCCACACAGGGCACTATCTCCATTTCTACCTCTAGTTTGTTCCAACTCCACCTTCCTCAACCACCCAAAATTCTTGGGTTCAACCAATCAGAGAGCCCGGACGATTGGCCGTGATTACGACATGTCCAACTCGAAGGGTTCGGGCAGTCAACGACTCTGCGACTCCAAAAAAATCAGGCCATGATGATCCTCTGAATTCCACCAACATTTCCGTAAAAAGGGTCTCTGCGCTAGTGATTTATAGACACACTACAAATTACAATCAAGGAAATTATTCGGGGTCCATAATACGCGGCACAACGGGATTGAAAAAATGTGCCAATGACGGGCCGCGGACGGCCGTCCGTTATTAACAACGGGGTCCTTTTGGAGGTCTTTGGTTCGGGTGAGGCCGGTGAGGGTATCAACCATCAAGGTTTTTGTTCCTACAATTGACTCGCTCAGTTGTTCGCTCCCCGAGGGTTGGTCCCCCATCGGTCCCCCTTCGGTCCCCCCTCGGTTTCCTGATTAGCTTGGTGAGTAATGCAGTTGGAGGACGACCGAGACCAAAGCCAAGATAAGGCGGTAGAGAGATGGAGTCGAAGAGGGAGGATGAGGAATGCGGATGCGAGAATGCACTCCATCCTCTTAGTTCGCTTCACTTTTCAAGTTTCAACAATTTGGACCTCTTCGTGGGCACCCGGGATACGGGTAGAACGGCGAGAGCGGGTAGGGGTTCTCATCACCAGTTCACCACTGCATCATGAAGGAACACACTCCGGCTAGGCTTTCAGTCTCGCAATCTCTCCATCTCACCCCCGCTTCGGACCGCCGATCCAGTTGCCCTCACCAGACCAGTAACAAACCGTGGACATCAACCCGGCCCGTTTACTGGATCTTCAATGAAGATCTATAATGAGGGCTCCGTATGAGATGCAAAATGGACTTTGCGTCGGCTCCGGTTCGGCTTCGGGCATCAACCAAGATGTAATTTATGTGCCGGGAAGCCTGTAAAGGCCTTCCGGTCTTCCCTCGCAGACTTGGCTATAGCAGCCGGGTAGTGTCGAAGGATAGAAATGGAGAAATGGGTCTAGCAAGTTGACAAATAGAGCGAGAGAATGACCGTCTCACTTTACCTAGGAAGAAGTTGAGTTACCTACCCATATGAATGGGGGGGTCCTGATCCCCCTTTGACCATGTCACTCCGGGCGATGACAACCCCTCCGTAGCATCCCCCAGTCAGTGGTAATCTCACAACGTCGTGGACAGTATAATGAGACTAGGGTAGACACGGCTTTGGTTTTCTTACTGTCCGGCGGCGGTCTCCACTCCCGAGCCGGGGAACGCTCCGGCGGCGTCTCTCTAATGCAGTCTACGCAAGTATCCTACCACTTGGCGCTGAGGCTGTCGTAGGTCGGTGTTGCTATTTAGTTGACTTGGATAGCTCTTCATTATCATGCCTGTGATGAGGCTGACCTTCGTCAAGCGGTAGGGCTTTCGCGTGGGGGTCGTTGGATGATGTGGATGCGTTAGCATTGTCACTTTGGAAACAATGAAGCCCTGACCATGTTGTGTTGATAAGTTGGGTCAGCCGTCATGACCAGCGCACATGCATTCCCTATCGTGAGGGCTCTGAAAGCGCCTTTTGGTTGACCTGCGTGCTGCTGATGGAGGGACTCGTCCTCAAATAAGGACATCGGGGAGCGAAAAGAAGGGTCTGAATCAACAAGTCTGGTTTGTGACATGGGAAAATGGCTGCGGGGGTTTGATTAGGACCCTGCATTTTGTGATCGATGGGTGTATGCTTGGTAAGGGATGTGGATCAGAGAGCCTTGTGGCGATTATGGGGTCCGTTGATGGGCTGAGAACGTAATTTTGGTCACGGAAAACGCGAGCAAGAATGCACGTTGTCTTGATTGTCTCTAAGACCAATGGAGGGTAAAGAATCTGCTGCCATGGCGGCAGTTTGTCTCGGAGAAACAACGTCAGGGGATGAATGTCACGACAGCACACTTGCGTGTTATTGAAAATATCACACCGAATCGTCTTCTTCTGAGACATTCTTTTCTTTCTTTTGCTGTAGGTTGCCTGGGGTTTGGCGTGTTTCGCGAAACCGATGTGTCTGTGTTCCTTCGGAGATTTTCCATGGGGAGGAAGGAAATCCAACCTGTGTTGGCCATGGCAACCCCTCTTCCATAGAATCCGAATCAACCACACCGACATTTCGACTCATTGTCAAGTCGTGTCTGAAGTCACGGTCTCGGGCGGTTGTTCCTCGTGGCAGGAAAGAGCAAAGCGATTGGATGTTTGTTACGATCTTCAGCAAGAACGATACTGGCACGCATCAAAGAGGAAGGCGCCAGATGTCGTCGGAACGCCTTACTCGACTGCAGCCACCAGGTCAGCAAATGATGTTGAAGGCCTCGAATACTGGACCGGCCTCAGTACTTCAATTTTTTTGATCTTTTGACATAAACGGATTTTGAAAACGCCAATAGATGTAGGTTGAGGCGGTCGTGCTGCACTGATATTGTTCGTAAACTTTGTTCGGCCGTGTACGTTGTACTCCGTATGCGCTTGTAACGGTCGTACAACTGAAGATGCTGGACGCCGATCTTACATGCCAGCCCTGCCCATAGAATGATTGCAACTTGCCCTTTAGGGCCGAAGTAGCTCTCAGATTGTTTGATCAGGATGACTCTCACTATCGACACTTCAAGCTGAACTTGTGTTGTTCACCAGACGAATTTGAGTGATGAAAGTCGAACCGTAAGCCATTTTCAACGGCTCTTGTCAATATCAAACTGATTTAGCAACCATTTGTTCCGATGGCAGGCGTTCGCGGTAATACGAAATATGGCATCCTCGCATGGCTCCTGGCTCTATTTGATGTAAGACATTGCCAGTCCGTTGGGATTTGGAGTTGACGTCAAGTAATCCTGACCGAATCCGGGGCTTCGAGGACCCTGAATTTCTTTATTAGGATCGCATCTCGAAACGGGAGATGTTAGCGTACCGTACTGGCCGATCCGGCCACTGGAAGAGAAAGGTTGGGGATGATTGTCTCAGTTGCCAACTTGTCCACGTCGAGAGCATGGACCTGACTCCGAGATTAATGGGCGAATCGGAAGGAAGAACCATGGTCAAGGTCTTTCAGACTGCTAACTACCGGCCGAATGGGTCTTTGAAGGAATTCAATGGTGGGACCTCCTTTGCATCCTATAGGTACATTGCTTGGAGACGAGAAGGGGTTATGTCCGGACTAGAAGCGGATGGGGGTCACATTGGAAGAAGCCTCTGAAAGCTTCGCTGCGGTTTCAACAGCCACTTGAGCCACAGTGCCACGTAAATACATGGCAGTGAATCGTTGGCATACTGCTGGTGTAATGCGATTGGCTAGTGTAGGATGTCGTACACTCAGTCGTTCACTGTCTGCAAGAACACGTACTGTGCCTGTACGTGATGGGATGGTCCATGGAATCTCTCGCTCCTGGATTCGTGTGTCTGACTCTGAAACGGGATGTCGGTACTCGGAAACTGCAGAAAAGGATCTCTTGCTAGTGAGCCGAGATGTAAGGTACCATTTAGGATCGCCATTGTAATCCCGCTTGTGGTGACCAATTCCCGTTCCCATTGAGGTGCACAAGCATTAACGAAGGCCTCGAAAAGCCTGGAAGGATCATAATAGGGCTTGAGGCTCAGGGTGCATGGTGTTCATATCCGAACGATAGCCAGACCCGTGCTCACCTGGAAACGAGACGTCAAGTCAACCGAGGAACAAACATAACCCTCTTTGCCTAGATTGTCACCTCTAGACGGGGCTCACGGGCACCGTCGTTGCCACCATCACAGAGTCACCGGCCAGCGGGAGATATGACGGAAGGTTCCCGGACCCGTCGATCAGCCGTGTTTCCCCGGAATGTCTCTCTTCCGAGCAAGTGAGGCTTTAGGAGGCTTCAGGGAGGCCTTAGAGGCGGCTAGGAAAATCGATAGCCTAGTGGAGAAGGGCCCTAAATTTCAGACACCGCCAATCGGAGAAGGTAGCACTAAAGACGGACCAGTTTCCGCGGCATTTAGCTGGAAGAAAAGGAAGAAAATGCAATTACCGAAAAGATTCCATGTGGGATGGCCCCAACGAGACGCGGAATGGGTGTTACACCCGCAGCACGTTTTAGGCGTTGCAGGGTCGCGAGTCGCAATATCAAATCCCAACAGAAAGCCGGCGAGAACGAGACATGCTAAAGAGTCTGGATGGCAATTTCCAGAAAGCCATCTTTCCTTCGGTCGCCGTTGTTTGGCGAGGTGTTTCGGTGTGGAGTAAACCCTCACCGACATTGCTTGTTTTTCTTTTGTTGTCGAGAGGTAAACACATCTAATATCAGATGGTCGTATGTTCCTTGCTCGGTGCCTCCATTCATTTTCAGCTTCCATCCAAACTTGAGCCAACCTACCGCAGGGCTCGAGAACTTGGTCCAGGCAAGGACTCGAGACATCCCTTGTCAGACAGATGATGGCTCTAAATGTCGCTGCGAATGGAGGCAAAAACCCCAAGGAAACTTCCTGACATCCGAAGTGGCCGCGATTGCTACGGGGTCGTCTTGTTGCCGCGCGGTCAGAGCTGAGCTTTGGGAGAAGGAAGCTGAAGTTTGGAGATATCACTCGACTTGATGCTGTCCCTAAACTTGTTCGGGATGCGGAGTGGGGGATTCAGGACTTGGCCTGGGTTTGGCAGCTGCCTTGTCAGGCCAGGGCAGCTTCAAGTTCGGCAAGGGACAAGCCTCAACGTCCACATGCCCGGCACTCGGGACCGGGGGCGGCCGTTGAAGGATTTCAATGGGCCTGCCATTCTTGGCGGCCCACCCGCCCCACAGTCGAATTTTCCCGACCTGGATTTCACAGTGCGCCCAGCCGATCACCGTGCGCCAAGACATGTCGTTGAAATCGCGCCGCTTGTGCCCCACCCACCCCTAGCGCCCTCCAGTTCACGCAGGCGCAACCACACAGAGCCGGCCATTTCCATTTGCCCTTTCCTAAAACGGACAGGATGTGATTAAGTTCCTCGTCTCATCAGAGCCTCAGCAGCCCAGTTCGAGCTTCCTTCCTTCCCACTCGATTCTTGCCAGTCCCTCCGTCTCACTCTCATGCACATGTTTCCGCGTTCTTGTTGATGAGCCGTGCTAGCTAGGTGACCTGCGAGAGGCAAATCCTCCCCAAGGAGACTCTGGACTGGAGCTAGCAACAACATTGGATGGATCTAGATGCGTCACGGTCATGCGGCAACCGGTCCGGTCAAGCACGCTAACGGTGAAATGACTGACAGGATGGCAATGGAATGGCGACACCTTCTGCTTTTGCAGCCGTTGACATGTCCACACCATACGGACAACCGAACAACCACAGCGCTGGAAATGGAATGAAAGGGGACCTTGCATCCTGACTGGTTCGGCCAACCACGGTCCTGGAAACGGAAATCCCCAGGGGAATGGAAACCGGATGGCCTTGGATGCCATGGTACCTTCATGCATCTCGGCCACGATCCCGCTGAGCTCACCGGCCCCACACATCGCCAGTTATTCATGTCCATCGGAGGAGACTCCTACTGGGAGCCTTCTTCTAATTTGGTCTACACTAAGTACTATTCTGTGCGTATGGCGTACTATGGCTCGGAAAGGGGCATCGACTACCGGCGAGAAGTCAACCATGTCATCCATGTCACGATTCGCTCCTTGTCCACATGCTCATCATGTTCTCGTGCCATTTCTTGCCAGGGTCCTTCCTCGCAGGGCACCGGGCAGACACAGATGCAGAGGGGATACATCATCGCCGTAGAGGTACATGCCCCATCGTCTGGATGTTGCATATCCTTCCCCGGGACTAGTACACGGTCATCACATTTCCTTTTCCCCCTTCTCCTCCTTCTCTAGCCTCCCAGGTCTACCAGGGTCCTTGCTCAGCTCCTCCCCATCACATCACAATCTTCCACACGCCTTCATAGGAGTTCTAGCTCCGTCATGGCTGCTTGAACTTTGAAGGCATATTTGAGTCGACTATACCCTCCTCCTCATCTGGTTGCGGGTCTTGTCTTGTGCCTCATCATTATCAGCATCCTCTATACATTTTGCACCGACTCCGTTTTCATCCCAAGAGGTTGCAGAGCCCCTTACACACACATCAAGGCGCATCATAGCACGGCCAGGTTGACCAGACGACCCCAAGTCACCAAGTCAACATACGACAAATCCGCTTGAGCTGAGCTTCGTCTAGCTTCGTCCGAATCACATAGCTTGCGCCATCCACCTGGGTTGGGTTAACGTTTCAACATCCTTCGACTTGACATATACGCCAAGACAAGACCCCCATATCTCTAGGGACCCTATCCTTACCTTAGTTGCCCAACATGACGCAGTCAAAGGTTGTCATCTATGTGTTGCGTAGGGACCTTCGCTTGTCTGACAACCCCATCTTCCACCACCTCGCCAACCCAGACTCCAACCACGGCTTTTCGCACCTCATTCCCGTCTACGTCTTTCCTGCGCCGCAGATTGACCTCTCCGGCTTTCTTCCAGAGGGAGGCGAGATCCCACGTCCTGCTCCCAAAAGCGCTGTTGGAGGGTACGCAAGATGCGGCCCATACCGTGCCAAGTTCCTGGCTGAGTCAGTTTGGGACCTCAAGACAAGCCTTCAGTCAAATGGCAGTGACCTTCTCGTCCGCGTTGGAACATACACGGGTGCTGTAAAGTCGCTAGTTGATGGGCTCAAGGCGAAGGAATGCCCAGTCGGAGCCGTGTGGATGACAAGCCACGAAGGATCAGAAGAGAAGAATGACGAAAAGGCAGTGGCATCTTTTTGCGCAAATAGTGGCATCGACTTCAAGTTATGGGATGATGAGAAATACTTTATCCACGAGCAAGTCCTCCAAAACCTCCCCCCGTAGTGGATGTTGAAGAAGAAAGCTGACCATTTGTTGGATTACAGTCGAGATACAGGAGTCACAGACCTCAACGATCTCCCCGATGTCTTTACCACATACCGAAAACAAGTAGAACCCTTGCGCGAGAAAGCGAGGAAGGCAATGCCAGTTCCTGCAAAGGGGGCCTTACCCGCATATCCGGACACAGATATGATTCCAAGTCAGCAATCACCTTTCAGCATCCCAGACACCTGCGAGAAACTGGTGGACGTCGTCGTCAGGCCAGTTAAGAACTTCCTGAAGAATCTTCCAGACTTCCCCAAAAAGGCAGAATCATCCCACCCATTCAGAGGCGGAGAGACATCGGCTCATAAGCGAATCGACGATCTCATCATGAGCGGCGGCATGAAACGCTACAAGGACACCAGGAATGGCCTCCTTGGACCGGAGTTCAGCACCAAGCTGTCTGCGTACCTCGCACAGGGATGCGTCACCGCTCGCCAAATCCACCACGCTTTGGTGGCCTACGAAGACGGATCGGACACCAGATATCAAGGGGCCGATGGGTTTGGAGAAGGGGATAATCAAGGCACGGAGACCGTCAGAATAGAACTCTTGTGGCGTGATTACATGCGGTTGTGCCACCAAAAGTATGGTGACAAGCTCTTCCGCATAGAAGGCTTCAATGGCAAGCATACCGATTACGAGGGCGAGGATAAGAAGCACGGGTGGAAAACTGCGAACACGAGCATAGCGTTGCCTGGACAAGACCCTACTCCTGAGAAGGTCGCGGACATCCTTGCAAGGTTCAACGCCGGAACAACAGGCATGGGACTCATCGATGCGTCGCAAAGAGAGCTTCTACACACTGGCTACACATCCAACCGGGCGCGGCAAAACGTCGCCAGCTTCCTCGCCAAACACATGGAGATTGACTGGAGATATGGCGCAGAGTGGTACGAAATGCTGCTTGTGGATTACGATGTGTCCTCCAACTGGGCCAACTGGCAATACGTAGCCGGTGTAGGCAACGACCCTCGCGGCGCCGCCCGGATTTTCAACCCTGTCAAGCAGGCGTTTGACTACGACAAGGATGGTGTCTACGTTCGGGCGTGGGTTCCCGAGGTCGCCAGCTTTGAGAATCTCGAGAATGTTTTCCAGGCTTGGACAGCCTCTAAAGAGGACCTGAAGACGGCCGGCCTGGAAGACAACATCATGGTCACGGATCCAGTCAAGCCTATTAAGTTCAACCTTGACCACAAGCCATCCAAGGTGAAGAAGCGGCCCTTCTTCAGAAAGAGAGGGCCCAAGAACCGAGATGGCCAGGCGAGTGCGGAAAGTCCGGGCAGCAGTGAAGGATTTGGTGACGGCAGTCCTGATGGCTCTGGCGGTAGCAACGCCGCAACAGAGTCCAACGGTGCCGCCACAGGCACTTCTGACCAGGCCCAACAGACTTCTCAGGGTAGCAGCAGGTCACAGTCTTCAAGCAACCATGGCGGGCGCTCGCACTCACACCACCACAACAACAACCACCACCATAACAACCATTACTCCCACCGCGGCGGCAACGATTACTTCCGAGGGCGTGGAGGTCGTGGCGGTGGAGGAGGTGGATACTCTTCGTCTCAAGGGTATTACAACCTTGGCGGTAATGTTGGTGGAGGTTACCGTGGCGGCGGACGGGGCAGGGGCGGAGGTGGGGGATTCCGTGGCCGGTATGCTCCTCCAAATGGGGGACCAGGTGGACATCATCATCATCATTCTGAGCAACAAGTACCCTCACAAGTCCAGGCTGACGCATAGGATCCGTCAGCTGCCGCTATGTTTGGTATGTTGCCGAATGTGATGACCACGTACCACCTGGACGGCTACTATCCTTATTTCCCTTCGCCGTTTCCTCCTTGCCAGCCTGCGTACGCTAATCATCATATGTAGCTGCGTTGAGTTTGTCAGCTCTGGGTTTCACGGGGGGGTTGGTCACGGGGATTGGCGATGGAAGAGGAAGCGGAAGAGGAACGGTATGAGGAAGAGGAAGAGAAACAGGAAGAGGAAGAGGAAGAGGAAGAGACGAAAGAGGCGCATCTTCCTGAAGAGTCTCATAGTTCATTTTGTAAGGTAAATTCCAGCCCAATTGCAGAGGGCAGGGACTCAGGGCATCTATGGTAATGCCCAAGCGGAGCATCCTTCTTTCCGTTACTGATAGAGCGTAGTGTTTACTCTTGTATTTGTAGATCTTTTGATGTTTGTCTTGGAATCTGGCTGATCCATATACGATGAAAGCACATAAACAAAGAATTGAAACAACAAACCCATGCAAAGTCAGTTGGCTCCGGTGATGAGATAGATGGATGAGATGGTGATAGTTGAAATCAAATCTGGTACAGACTGAGCATTGTGAGGCTCCCACGCTCTTTCCTCAACTTCCGTTGATTCCCAATCTTCCACATAGAGACTTTACCGCTTATTACTCAACCACCATCGGCAGTCGCGGTCCAGACGTCAATGTGCAGAGACAAGCGCATTGTCCAGACTCTGAGCATGCAGCTCCCAACACACCAAAGCCACCGATTTGTTGACAAATTCTCAGCTTTCTTCAGAGATGCAGAACGGAATCCAAGACCTCGTCCGCTTCGAGCGCCCAAATTGGAAAACGTCATACCAGCCTGCCTATCATGATTGCCATGCATGATGCAGCAGGCTCGGCCTCGGCCGCTTCCACTGCAGCAAGTGACTACCTGTTGCACCAGAGCCTTACTCTTCCTTTCTTTTCTCTCAAGCCTTTTGAAATCGCGGGCCTCAATACCGAACCAAACGCCGAACGAACCAAGATATGTAAGCCTGGCCACGTTGCGGTTAAGATTATTCTGGATCTGTTAACTCAATATAGGTACCTCTGTTGGTGAATACCCCCTCACACATGAAGCTCTCAACTTCCATTGCCCCAATTTACATGTCATAAGAACTACCCGGACGTTGGTAAGAAGAAGCAATCTGAGCCTAAGGAAGGAGCATGCATTGTCACAAATATTCTCGTATTCAACCTTACACGCCGCATCGTGAGACTCCTAGAAGGCATCTACCTAGAGTTCGTATGCAACCCATACTTATTATAAAAGTAACCGATTTTTGACATATTTTCAGCTTCCTTCAAGAATGCAGGCTTGCAGAGCGCCATCCGTTACCATTGGGAAGCTGTTAGCCACCTAAGGTTGCTTCTTGGGAATCTTGAAGGTTGATTTGACAAACTACTACTTTCCTAACAATGAGAACCAGCCATTCATCCCACTTTCGTCCCGCCTTGACTGCAGCGTCTCGGCACCCAGCAATTCGACGGCTCCATGCGGCGAAGCTGCATATTGAGGTCCAGTTGCCTATCATGATCGCCATGCATGTAATGCAGCTGTCGCTTTCGTGACGATTACTGTTGCATCAGAGCCTTGTATTTCATCCTTCCTCCTCTTTCCCGATTCAACTTCCTCAAATGATTGTCTTTGATATTGACTTTACTCTTCAGTCAAGGTAGACGGTGCCGCCCCTTCCGCCGGCAGAAAGCTGTTACTAGTCGTCAGAGCACTCCAGTGACTACCTTAGCTGTAAAACTGTTTATTCCCTTCACTACAGGTGCTAACGTCTCTTCCTAGGCCAGATTGGCAAAGCAGTCAAATTCCTTCAACTGATCGACGGCTGCGGGTGGCAGCTATGGCTGACCATACATGCCTTGATGCAGGCAGGACACCAATTACTTCGTCCCCTAGCTGCGTGGAGTGAGAAACACTGAGCTTCCCTCACAAGGATCTCACAAGCCAGGTATCATTGTAAGTGTTTTCTTTTCCTTATCGAAGTTCTTTTATCTATGGTGATCTTGAACTTCATTGATCACCATGCCTTTGCTTCTCTCACGCTTGCACCAATGCACTTGGACTATTCCATTGCCTGATTCTCCCCGCATGTCGCAATATCTACTCGATTGGATCAGTGGCTCCCGGATTATCCGGTGCGAGCTGGGTTGAGAAAGCCTCGCTCAAAGAAACGCGGCTCTAGATTCCCTGTCAGACAATGATGTGGTTCAACTAAGACGTCCAAAAGACATCTCCGCAGCAAATCTGGCGCAAAATAAGCAATTCTGGACTCATAAAGTATTGCATGTGATGGATTATTGGTCCCCCACTCGGTTGTTAATTCAGCTACTTCGTTTTGATCTCGCGTTCCGAGGAAGAGAGGGCGAGAATCAATCAGATTTGAAGACTTGCGGTAGTACATCCACCAACTGATGCAACAGTCTTATTTATCCGTCAGTCATTTTCAGAAATACCAGGTACGTTGAGGTGGATTTTGTCTGGAGATAAGCAGTTTAACAACAGGATCCAACTTCGTATAAGCCTGTCCTCCTACTACTTATTTATGTTCTACAGTACTAATTCCTCCCCGTTTACTTCACCAACTTGTCCATAATTCTACTCCTCGTTTATCTTTACTCAAGTTTCTTTTCCCTTGTCTCGAAACTTCCCTAGGCAAGCATAATGCCATCTCCACTTGATCAGGAGTTGGAAGTGTTATGGGAACGGATTCACGTAAGTTAACTCTCATACCCCATAAACCCGCTGAAGACAGTCCCTCGGGTGCTCCTCGCGTTGTTCATAAATCGCAAAAAGTCTTGAGCGGACGAGGCACACTGTCAGGGTAAAAGAAGGTTTCCATTCTGGTGGTTTCAGCACGAGACATCCTTATTGTTCGAACATCCATAAATGGCCAAGTAATGGCAATGAGTAACATGGAGCAACATGCACTTTGGCTTCTACGCCGCCTTTGGTTTCGTTTCCCACTCCCCTCTCATCTACCGCCTTTTAACTGGGTATCACCTCCCGGTTGCTGACCTCCTAATTTGATCGAATAGCGAGCTCAGCAGAAAGAATGGGTATGTGCTCCCTCGCAGATGTTGAGAAAAGCATTGTTTTTGCCTTCCACTACTTACAAAAGGGAAGGAACAAATTCGTGGCAGGGGGCCTAGCCGTGACGAGCAGCACTTTCTGGAGATCAGGCGCAAGGTACGTTTTCCCATTCAGAATTTTGGGACGCTCACCCAAGCCACTTTTTGTAACTACCCAGACTGACACAAATCACAGATAGTACGTTCTAAGAACCTGACCCATGTGTAGGCGGATAATTCAGAACAGACAACAGGCTAACTCTTGCCGTAGACGGTCAGTCCTATAGATTCCGACCTATGGTTGTCAGCCAACTGGGTGTATACTGAGAACTCTGCGCTCTCAGACCGAAGTCAGAAACAATAACTGTTGTGCAGAGTGGGCTCCTGACTGGGCTTACGACACTGATGCACCCTTACCCATTTTCGCATATCAACATGCGCTTGAGCAGACGGACTACGCAGAAATCCTTCTAGGGGAATTAGTCGAACAATACAACTACAGAAAAATCCTGGAGCTCATCCCCACAGACGGAAGGATTGGTCTCTCATTCAATGGGAAGTGGTCCTCGCAAAGAGACGTCTTGCTCAACTCGATACCTAACCACAAGAGGCCCACTGACACCGATACACACTCTCTAATTAGCAACATCGAACAGGCCCTAAAAGATCTCGGAGAGTTTGGTGTACTTGACATTGCGGACTTTGACCCTAGCTCGAGAGATCGCGTCAATTACCGGCTCTCGAAGACGTCGCTCTACGTCACCACCGTGCTGGATGGAGCATGGTGGTTCCAGCCTTCAGCCTTCAAAACCCGTAGAATGCAGGAAAGTGGGAATACAGTGCTGCCAAAATATCCGTCAACGAAGAAGACTGCTGGCTGGAACCGAGTTATGTAAGTTATCATACTTCTCCGAGTGAGGCCGTTCATATTGATCGACGGTAGACTAAACCTCTGCAGACAAATATGTGGTCTTTCTCTGGCTTTGATAAAAGCACGCGATCCCTACTTTCTCCTTGCATTTCGTCGGAAAGAATGCCACGGATGTCCAGTGGCCGATGCAATAGATATACATCTCGCATGCAGTCAAAGGGGCGGCACAAGCGCAACGAATCCGTACTCAAATCGTACGGTCGCATTTCACATCACGTTCTACGAGATAATACCGACTGTTGAAACAACTCATAGTATCCATGGAGACAGGCAATCACAGTAATTTAGGTGCCGACGTCAGAGAGAAGAACAACATTGAAGCCACAAAGTTGCTCGTCAAGACTTGCAAGAATAACAACATCAAGGTTGGGCATCTTTACGAAAAGCGTCCGACGGAGACAGAGAGCATTGGGATACATAGTCCAAGCTCCCGAGCCTTCAAATTAAGCGCCTTTACGGTGAGCAGTTAACATTTTATGTCTCTTCCATCATTTCATTCCTCCACCATGTCCCCCTGTTTTCTTTTTAGGCATTATCATTATCCCCTTGGCTAACACTTCAACGCCCTGCAGGTATTCACCGTCGCTAACATCCCTGAAATTGTGGTATGCTTGTTGCCCACCTGTCAATGAGTAAATGAGACAGGCAGCTGACTGACTTGGTGAATAGCCTTCATGCAGTGAAGAGGAAATTCCACCAATTCCGGAAGACCAGTACCAAGACATGGAGCCAAAGCCAGATGACAAGGAACAAGATAACCCACCAAAACCGGATGAAAAAGAACGTTGGACAACGATATCCTTTGCTCCCACATCGTTCTTTAACCACGCGGACGCTTGGATTGGCCCAGACGGTGAAGGTCAAGATACAGATCATCTACGACAATGGCCATTGAATATAGTACATTGTTACAGCGGAGCGGCCGTCGAGCTTCACACGATAATTAAGGCGCTTAAAACGGTGGAGACTCGATGGCGGGAATTGGAACGATATATCAGTAGTCTACTGGTCCAGGATTTCATGAATCCAAAGGATTACTGCGATCTTCTGTTTGACGATGAAACCTTCACCCGGTCAAGGCTCTATTTCTGGATTCTTGGATTCATCATTGAGGTCCAACCCTGCATCGAAGACAATATCACCCAGTGGAATCTTTACCGACAAGCTCGAATCCAGTCTCTACTCGAAGACTCTAGAGACTCACCCAAATACAAAAACACCGCCGCCTTCGACAGGAGTTCCGTCATCAGACAATACGACAAGGAAGGCAAGCAGATCATGCAAGATCTGGAAAACCTCAAGAGAAGGTTTGATGCAATATCGGAGAGCGTACGGGCATTGCGGGATGGGGTAAGATTCACAGGTTTTTCTGGCAGTTATATAACTGCTAACACGGTTCGCGATATAGCTATTCAATGCCAGTGCCCTTATGGAAAGTAGATCCGCTACTAGACTGGGCCAAAATGTCCAGCTACTCACCTACGTGAGCATATTCTATTTGCCTCTTGGGTTCTGTGCTGTAAGTTTTGAAATCACCCTTCTGTTTATCGTGCGTTTGCTGAAAGCCACAGGCTCTCTGGGCAGTCCCCAACATTACCCAGAGTGACACTCGAGTCCCGTTCGTAATCGCAACGTGTCTCGTGTCTCTGGTCACACTTACAACTGTTTTCAATATTGGAAACATATCGGATGCTGTGGGCCTCACCTATTTCCGATGGCGGAAGAAGACATTGCAAGACATGGAGCACGATTCGAATTCAGAATGGACAACTCGCCGGGGGATGTTTGATGAGTTTCCGCCTAACAACGAGCGGAAAGTTCCCTCGGAGTGGTGGCTAGCTCGCTATCAGGCGTATCAGCTACGTCAAAAAGTGAAAGATGGCCTGAAGTCATTTAGAGGACGTTTCACGGGAGGACAAGCTAGTTCAGGTACCGGTTCGGAAACCGGGGCAGGGAGTGTGTAATCGTGATGGGCAAGGGCTTCTTGTTATTGGGTGTGAAGGAGCGGGTCAACGATGAGAACGCTGAAGCCTCTTTATCGTCAGATCTTATTTACCGTGGAGGGTATCTTGCCAAGGCGTTGCGTTTGAGTTGACGGTTCGCCAAAGTATGAATCGCGCCCTTTTCTTACCAATGTCATTCAGTATTCTTTTGTAACGGCTCTAGGAGGTTGATGCACTGCACTTCATTTTTTAAACCATTTCCGCTTGCCAAACCGACAGCTCTTTTACACCGCCGACTCTGCAAATCCCAACAAGTAATCCAGCGCCAATATCTCATACGCCCCCAAGTTCCATTCTAACCCAACACTCGGGTCCTCCGGCGTCCTTACGGCCGTAGCAACCATGTAATCCGATCCCAGTGATCGCAAACACATGTTCACATCCTCTACCCTCTTCCCCCTAAACCGTATCTCAAACTTCCTAAGCACCTGCGCATCCTCCCCCTCGTCTTCACCCTCCTTCGTCTCAACAGCTGGTACATCCCATCCCGGCGTCGGCCTACTCGGCCTAAAATACCTAAACTCCAACTCGCCCAGCCACTCAGCCAGCAACGCTTCGCCCGTCAGCTTCACGTATGCCTCCCTCAACCCCCAAAGCGCATAAAAAGCTCTCAGCTTCCCATCAGCCACCTGCTCTGGCGTCGGTGGTGTTTGAGGGTCATCCCTAGGCACCAACCCCGGCACAGCGCTCAACACCTGATACTTGAGATAACTCGTCTCGCCCATCGCGAAAACATCAGCGTGCATATCCACAAAGTTGCCCCATCCCTCTTTGCGAATAAGCTCTTGATCCCGTTCCCTGCGCTCTGATGTGCAGACAATATCCACGCCAACCTGAACCCCCTCTGCCCGCCCTGGCGAGGGGTAATCCGCCACAGCGACGAGCGCGACTATCCCAGCCTGGTGCGACACGTTGAAGGAGACTGGCTGTGCACCAGTCGAAGGGTCGCGCCAGATGGGCTTGGTGGTGCGCTGGTCGCGGGTGAATCCGACTGGGACGGATGACCAGGAAACGCAAGCGAGCCGCGCGATGGCGTACCGCTTTAGCAAGGCCGAGGCGAGTGCCATTTTGGCGTCGCGGACATGGAAGTATTTGAGCACGGAGGCGCGCTCGGTGGGGGTTAGGAGGGATAGAGGGCGAGAGGCCTGGGATCAGGGGGGTTAGTTTGGGGTTGATTTCATGTTTTATGTGAATGATGTGATGTGGATGCGGGGAAATGTGCTGCTGCTTTGTTTATTTACATGGACTTCGAGATCGCGGGTCTTAGCGGCTGAGGGGAACCAGGACCGTGTGTCAAGGATCCACTGGACTAGAACGGGCTTGTTTGGTGGTCCCGACATCTTGTACGTATTGCTTATTTTTGGTGTTTCGTTGTCTTTTATTGTACGTGGTGGTTGTGAGTTGTTCTGAGACGGTTACTTTGGGCTGGATGGTCGGTTTTGAGAGTGATGCATATGTTTCAGACATCAGCTCATTCGGCGCGGTCTGTGATGAATTGGAGCATGGTCATGGGATGATGATTCGGGAGGTACGGAACAATACAAGTGAGAGTTTGAAACGGTGATAGTGAAATGGATGGAAAGTAGCCGAGCGAGCTGACTCGGCCCCCGCAATGGTCCCGGTCGCACAATCATGCAAGTCCGGGAGCGGTGGCGGAGATCCGGGTCGGGTATCCACACCTGCCCGGACACGCAATCAATATAAAATACGCCAGTTCTCCACCGCATCTTCACCACTTTCGTTCTTTCCTCTTTTTCTTTTCTTCTCTCATACCCTCGACTGTTTTCCCTTTAGGGGTATCGTCGTCCGACTTCCTACCAAGCTCATCGACCAAAAAAGTCATAAATGTCTCCCGCCCAGTGACTTTTTCCATCATCAACCTCAGCGTCGATGCTGCCCAGGACGACCACACCATGTTTCCTCAGTTCCGCTAGCCGGTACATTTCTAGTAAATGTGCCAGCTTGCGTTGAGCACCGAGTCGAAACAACACAACAAACCCGCGTTCCGCCCAGGGGTTGCGAACAGAGAACCAGTAAGCGGCGAATCCGTTTGCAGGCCCGAAAGCGTCGAGCGCCCCGTCGCTCCGCCTAGGGTTTGCGGTTGTCAGTAAGCGACACTACACAACCCGAAGCGTTGAAAGCGACAAATCGTTCCGCCTGGGAAGTGTTCCCCGATCTTTCTTTTTCTGGATCCCGGCCTCTGAGGAAGCCGGGGGCTGGAGTTCTGAATTTCCAGGGTCGGGATGTGACCACCCAGGCGTCGAGCGATTCATATTCACCCTGCTCCGTGGGATTTTGTTTCACCTTTTCATGTGCCGCACGATCATGGAAACCGGTTTCGGTCCCAAGAAAGCTGGGACTGGAAGACCACTGAAACGATTTCCTGCGTTGAGCGGGAAGGGAGGCTTCGCGTCGAATTAGCCCAGAAGACTCCTGTCGGAAGGTCTTGAGCTTTTACTATGCAAAAGTTCGGCTGAGGAGGCAGTCGGTAGTTTCTTCTGCTTTGTGCTAGTTCCGCGAGGTCGGCCAGTTTCCTCCTTCAACCACTCTCTGTCTCCCTTGCTGGAAGGGCTGCGGTCTTTGTGAGTCTTCGCAAGAGATCAGCAAAGATTTCCATGCCTCTTTTACCCGACGATTTGTCTGAGGAGGCGTTGATTCTCCGCCGGAAGTGCGCCTGTCGCAACACAGGAAGGGCCTGAGGCGATGCGAGTCCGCTGGAAGGATGAGTTGTCAACCCCCTAAAGAGGTAGCGGCGACCTGAAGCGAGGATGTTGACGGATTGAGTAACCCTTCTTTTTAAGAAGATTGAAGAGAGTTTGAGACGACTGCATCAGCCCCTCATAACGCCGAGAGTGGGGCAGCCCGTTGAAGCAGCTTGGGAAGGGGGCTTTTGTCTCTGGAAATTGCTGTGGAGGGTTCCCTTGCTGAAAGTCTTTCTTGTTATCAAGTTCCGCAATGGAACAGAGAGAAATGACGAGCCTGAACCTTTACGATGGTGCGTGGGATTAAGGATGGATGGACATCTGTCTGAACAAATACAGGCTACACCAAGAAGGGCATTATATATCTCATACATAGTCCACTAAATCAAGACACATTACAATGATTCATTCTCGTCTCAAATAAGGCTATGTGTGATCTCTAAAAGCTATTTTGAGAAGCAATGTTAAACGCTATATCAATGATGATGCCACATGCCTCCCATTCCCCAACTTCTATGTATTCGACTACGCAAACTTCGTACGTTTCAAGTACAAATAACCTCCAAATGCAACTTAAACTCCCAGGTACCTCAAAATCTAATCTGTCTTCGGAGGCTTAGGCCTGGGAGCCTTGATCGAGAAAAGCACAACATCATACTCTTCGGGTATCTCCTCTTCCTTCGTCTCCGCCTCCTTCTCGATCTTAGCACCATCCTTCGATTCCTTTTCATCCTTGTCTGTGACTGGCTTCCTAACTTCATCTCCATTGGCATCCAATGTGACAACGACGTCCTTCGTGTCCAAGCTCCCATCCTCCGTGTAGCCCCACACATCCTTAAGCTCCCCACGGACCAGACCAGTCAGCCACACTGACCCGGTGACGCAAGGGACTAGGTATAGCAATGCGGGCTGTCCGTGGTTGAACACCTGAAGCATCGTCAAGGTTAAAACCATGCCCAAGGCATAACCCGCTACCGACACGTAAAAGTAGGGCTTGGGAAAAGCGGTTGCGGCTCTGACCGCGCCACATGCTGGGTTTGGCATCAGGTTGCCCAGTTTCGTTGTCCAGAAGCGGTTGCCCCATTGGCCTTCAGATTCCACGAATGGTGTTTTGGTTCTCTTGAACTGCATCTCAGTCGTCGTGGTAACTTCTTGATCCGTGGATGGGGAGTTTTTTCCAGCTGAAGCTTCGATAGGTTGATACTGGATTTGTCTCTTGTAGAACATGTACAAGTCGAAGCGAAGGGCAAGCGCCATGAGCAAGCCAGGCACGACAATGTCTCCGAGTCCGAGCATGCTGAAGCCGGAAGAGCTTCTGAAGACGAGCTTGATTGGAGCGTCGACCTTCTTGGCAACGGTAATCATGAATGGACTGTGGAAAGCAAGTTAGCATCTAGTTAAAATGCCCTAGCCGAAGGATAGGTGGAAACTCACGTGTAGAACACCATTACGATATCATAAAAGAAGAGACCCCAAAGGACAGAGGTACCTATACCAAAAGACGTGGGCGAGAGCATGCCGAAGGCAGCGTAGCACATGGCAGACCCAAGAATGTTGGAAAGGACATGCCACTCCATAAGGTGATAAGCGGTGGTTATCCCGATCGAGACCAAGAATCCCAGGATATGGTTGAACTTGATCTGGGACTTGAGAGAGCCGAAGCCATGAGCCGCAAGACGGACTGTCCATTTTTCCGTAAAGAGGTGTCGAATCTCCCAGGCAAGTGTGTTGATGCCGGTAGGCAGCGGTACCATGGAAAGAACACCGGGCAAGGGCGACCTCTTCTCGGTGATCATGGCCTGGTTCGTCGTAGGGTCAACCAGGACCTGAGAGCGGCGTTCTGGATCGATGTAGTAGAGCTTGTTACTGCGATCTGACCATACGCTTGGGAAGATTATGCTGGTCATAATCTCCAAGGCGTCCCCGGACAGCTTTCCGAGGCCGGCAACTCCAGCGACGGACATATAGCCGCGAAGAATCTTGTTCAGCAGATTGGGGTCCTTGAGCCATTCTAACAGATAGTAGAGCCCAATGAGAACAGCACCAGCCAGGATGGGGAACATTATGGCATCAGAGGCGGTCAATCCTTCAGTGAACTGCTCGTCTTCCTTTGACTTCTTCTTCTTGTCCTTGTCTTCGGACTCTGCTGGGGCAGCAGAGGGAGGTCGGCGGAGAGACCCATGAGCACCAAGCCATATTACGGTCAAGGCGCCGAAGATAACCTGAGCGTCAAACCAGAGCACTTCTGGTCTGAGGAACATCTCCCAGTGGAAAGTATGTGGTTTGGCATCTGGGAGCGGAGTTGGGGTAGTTCCCGTCGCGTTGACGGCCGAGGCTTCAGGAGAAGCCATGCTGGTATCCTGGTCGACGCGCGATACTCATGTGTCTCGATCTCTCGCAATCTGTCGTTATGTATCGAATACTGACACAGAAATTCGGCTATTGTTGTAGTTGTAAGACAGATGAGATAATGCCTTCTTCGGGGTTGGATGTTGGGTTGGTGTTGAGGTGAAGCCGCGTGTCCAACCTGGAATGACGTTCCACAGTTTGCTGGGAGTTGTTGGTTGTTACTGCCGCAAGTTACAGGGCTGAAATGGGTATTTATAGCAGTTGCACGCTAACTTCACTGCAGGGAAAGAGCCATCTCTGATTGTTTGCCCCGCTATTTCGTCACATCTGGGCGGCTCTCCAGAAATTGTTAGTGCTCGAATAGAATCTCCCTTCCCTTCACTCACTGTTGCGGCTTTCATCCGACATAAAGGTCATCGACACATCGGGTACCGTACGCACCCACGGTTTACATCTACTTTCACTACACTTCACCTTCAGTTTGACGAAGGGACGCGCGAATATCCAGAGACACAAATCCATTCAGCTCATTTACACCTGGGCGCGGAGTCCAGACACTAGATTTTCACACAATGGCGTCCGATCCCATGTCAGTAAACAGTTCAGCAAGGGAGCCACCTGCGGCTCCGGGGTCAAGCGCAGACGAGCCCAAGTATGGAGGATACACACGTTTCGAACTTGAACTGGAGGTATGCTTCATGAACTCACAATGTTACGTACATCATGTTGACAAAATACTCAGTTTGTTCAAGCACTCGGCAACCCGCTATACTTGAACCATCTCGCTTCCAGGAAGTTACTCAGCAATCCTGCCTTTGTCGCCTATCTCGACTATCTCCAGTACTGGAGCCGCCCACCTTACCTCAAGTATCTTACCTACCCTGGACCTACCTTGAAGAACCTTCAGTTGCTGCAGCAGGAAAAGTTCAGGCAGGACATCATCAGCCCAGACCTGGTCGAGCGTCTTAGGATGGAGGGCATGAAGGCCGGCATCGACTGGCACAAGGAGAGTTTTCCAAGCACGACGTAGGGATACCATGGACGGAAAGGAGAACGAAACAACCTTTTGCCAGCCTAGTACCACACAGTTCATTTTTATGTAGGATACCTCACAAGCAATAACACGAAACAAATAAATATGCCCCAAACGCCAAGCAATGCCCCAATACCATGTATTGATGATCCGACCAGACCTGGGTGTCCTGATGAACTCGTCTTTTCCTAGTTGTTGTCTCTCCACCTGTGCCCGCAAGTCATACACTGCGTGCGAGATCATGTTAGCTTCTTTTGCGCCTTTGCCATATGTCCCGTGAATCGAGTAATCTTACCTTGTAGAACGTCGTCATCGGCTCATCAGCACTGCGAATCTGAACCTGGAAGAAGGCCGCCTCGTTTCCGTTGCAGGTTCCGCTGTCACACTGGACCTTGCCCTTTTGTGCATTATCCCAAGCACCTGGACCACCAAATACGTCTTCCTTTTCCTTGCGCGGGAAGTTCTTGCGGGAGTAGATGGGCTTGTCGATGGGGTGCTCGTAAGGGCAGGTCCTGCACTCGAGCCTGTTGCCACCCGTGTCCGCTCGGGAGAGGATGAGGAGGTTGGCGCAGAAGGGGCAGACTATGGTGGGTGTTAGTTCACATGTCCTGGTCTTTGTGTGTGTGGGATTCACTCACAGACGATAGGCATGTTTGCTTATTGATGAAAGGAATGAGTTTGTTGGGTGTAAGCGTCCGTTATGGATAGTAAGTGAGATGAAGGTTGGTAAAAATTTGTTGACGATTTTGATGAGAAGTAGCGGCGCCGTGAGCTTTGATCACTTTGCGATAATGATGAGCCAAAGCCGGTAAATTGCAATCAGTTTCTGGGCTTTATGGCCGTGATATAGATCCTAAAAGTGTACAGTCAACGGCGAAGAGAAGCCCTGAAAATGTGACAAAGTTCGATGCGGTCCATTAATTCCCAAAACCTTAAATGCAGTGCGAAGTTTCATTGGTCACATCTGCATCACGCACTGCCCCACCTGTCTGGTCAAGCGGTACCTGGACTCAACTGCCCTGTTGTGCCTGTGCTGGGGTACGTACCCCCGGTCACTGACAGCTGGGCCTCAGCGCATGGAAGCCGTGCCAGCGTCCTGATCCCCGCAGGAGCCGACCACTCTGTGACACCAAGGACACTGCCACTGCCACCTCCTAACCAGCCTGTTAGGTAAATGTTTCATACAACCACCACGACTGGCGATATCTTCCGAATACCCTCAAACAGCACATTGCCAACGTCTCCTCACCTTGGGGATTCGTTATCAAACGTTAAGCGATCCGGGATCACTCCACACAAACCTAGCCGACTACCTAATTCGACAGCCTGGCCACCTCCATACCGTACATCCACTTCTCCCCGCCGACCCATTTCCACGATTCCCGCTCGTAATTAAGCGATTCCAGCGCCAATCTTACTCTCGACAACTCTCTCGCCGTCATCCCTCTTTGCTTTCAACTATACTACTTGTGTTTCCTCTTGCAACAACCAAGAAACACCCACCACCCGCCGTTTCCGAGATACCGACAAAGTAACCAAAATCAGTAAACCAACCATGACCGGAAAGCAGCAGGACGAAGAACACGAGGTTCGTACCACACAACACAACAAGCACTCTTTATCCTTCCTCTCCCCGTTACTCCCGTCCTGCCCGATCGATTTCCGCGCGAACAAACTACAGTACTACAGGCAAGCTAACTACAAAAACCACAGGGCGCCTCCGTCGGCGAGCAACTCATCGAAGCCTGCCGTCGCAACAACACCGACCTTCTCTCTGAGATCCTCTCCGACAAGTCCGACGAAGAGATCTCCTCGCTGCTGAACGACACCACGACAGTAATGGGCAACCACCTATACCACGAAGCCGCTTTGCGGGGTAACTACGAGATAATCGACATGCTTCTGGACCAGCCCGGGTTCGAGTGCGATCCCGTTAACCGAATCGAGGGCGACACGCCCTTACACTCGGCGATCCGGTGGATCAACAGCGAACCCGAGGCGCAGCGCGAGTTCGGCAACGCTTTGGTGGACATGATGCTGGAGGCCGGGTCGAACCCGCGGGTCAAGAACAAGGGCGGGCTGACGGCGCTGCAGCTGGTGGATCCAAGGAACAAGGAGCTGAGGGAGCTGATACAGAAGCACGAATATGCGCTGCTGAACGCGGGCGATTTTGTGAATGTGGAGGATGTTAGCAAGCCACAGCAGGCGGTTTTGGATGTGGAGGATGATGACGATGATGCGGAGTTTAGTGGGAGTGATGATGAGGAAAGAGCGGAGTGGGAAAGGAGGAGGGCGGCGAGGAAGTGAAAGGGGTCCAAATCCTTCCTTGCAGAATAACAAGGGGCTTGACGAGACTTTCTTTCTGAGCCATGTCTATATACCCTCAGAGGCATCGGGCCATCCATACAAGCCAGCAGCTGTGTGGAGCCGCGGACGGAACAGCGCTGTTGGTCTCTGGGTTGTCTCTTACAGCCCGTACATATAGGGTTGGGTATCGATATCTGGTGGCGGTACGGTTGGATTTATGCTTCGTGCTTATTGCAGCATGTAAAGCAAGCGACGTCACTACTAGAGTTTAGAACGGAGCAAGTGTTCTCGATAGAGATGGGGGATTTGGAGATATCAGATCAATAGTTTATCAACATATACCTGGTCTTACTCAAGTCAATAGCGCGGAGGCAAGGGTGCGAGCTTTCTGTGGACTGTATTTTTGTACCAGCTATACTTATCCGGGGAAGCAAGATGTTAAATAGGAAAGCGAGTGTCTTAGGTTATAAGAATAGGGTAGGTAGTACAAAACAACGTCTATCGACCTCTAGTTAACATCGTTACCAAACTGTTCAATCCAGCATACAGTATAAGACTCAACTGGTCCAAAGAGGTGATAACCAAAACTAAGAAGAAGAAAAACAAAAGAGTGGTCGAACGCCAAGCCAAAGAAGAAATAGGGGTATAACATCAAAGTCAACAAAAGATCTTCAACCTCCAGGACACTCTCCAAATCCTCATGCAAACACAACAATAACCGCGCAAAAAACAGCCACAACTGTCAACGTGCCCAGACTTGGTCGGGCAGTCATCGTTGAACTCGACCCCTTCGGATCAACACTCTCGATATACGTCCGATTCTGCACCCTCTCCAGAATCCCCCTTGTCAGCCCCCCGCCACTCGCTATGGTCCTCAATTCCTCCCCAAACGTTCTCAGAATATTCGTGCTCCTGCCCCTTGGACAAAACACCACCTCCCACCCGCCTCCATTGGGAATGATGAACGTGCTGGTCTGATCGTCAAACGCATAACTGTACGCGTCCGGACAAACTGTCTTTGCGTTCTCGCTGTACAGACTCGGGATGCACACGGAGGGGTCGTCGTACTTGCCCGTGCAGCAATCTTCGGGGTTCCCCGTCGCCGCACAGGCCGACAGGCACGGATCGAATACGGGGCGTTGGATTGAGTCGTCTGGGTACGGATAGATGCCGTCTCCCGGTTTGGAGGGCGGGTATACTTGTAGGTCCCAGGGACACCAACCGCCGATGGTGGGGTTGGTTTGGTCCGGTTCCCAGGCATGGGGAAGGTCTTGTTTGTGTAGTAGAACCCTGACCTAGAGGGCGGGTCGAGGAAGCCGGCGGATGCGATGCACACGCAGTTGGTCAGGTTGGGAGGGATCCAGGTTGTGTTGGCGGCGGGGATGTAGATGATTCCGATAGGTATATTGTAACCGTCAACAAGAGAGATGTCGTAGAAGGTCTGGTCGGAATTCATACCACCGATTAGGTTGAACTCGGCGAGCGTTACTGGAACCTGGCCCTGTTGTTTGCAAAATGTGAGTATTTTCCCACCAAGGTTGGTGAAGAAAAGGCTAAAGAAGGAGTGACCTCCTGCAAACACGTACCGTAAACTCGCAGTCAAGTCTGCCAAAGCAGTCTCCCGTCATGCACGCCGCGCCATTCCCATTCACACCGTTGAGGTTGCTTGGCCCCGTTCCCTCGTCGTTGAACGAGCAATTGGTCCGTCCCCATACCCTGCCTTGCCAGTCGGGGCTCACAAACAGTGGCCTCGTTTCGCCAGGAGCAAGTTCGAACCCGCCAACTCCAGGCCCGATACCATGCTGCGTACCGATCCCGGGCCATATTGTATCTGGGCAGCTGTTGGTGATGACGATCGGTATAGGGGTCGGGTTTGGTGGGGTCGAAGTCGGATGCGAAGTGCCCTTCATCGTAGAGCTAGGGGGTACAGGTACGGAAGAAGGGATCGATGTATGGCTGACAGCCAGAGGAGGTTTCGACGTAGGAGCAACAGCCGGAGGCGGCTTCGAAGCGGGACTCACGATAGGAGCTTTCGAGACCAGTGTTGTAGGCACGAGAGTTGAGTTCAGGCTTTGAGCTGCCACGCTCGTGGTTTGTCCATGGAGGATGAGTAAGAAGCCCAGAGCACCTCTTATGTAGCTTCTGAGACTGCCCCCATGGTGTTGTTTGTAGGTTGAGGGCGAATGGCTTTCGATATACGATTTTGGTTTCCGGGTACCCTTCGGACCAGGCGCAGAGGTACTATGTGACTTTTCGGTGACCATGGCGTTATTCGTCTTCTGAAGCGGCCACCAAGAGAAGATCGAGTAGGAAGTGAAGGTAATACAGACAGGATAATCAACCTGTTTCTATCGCTGGGAGTTTTTGCTAACAAGGCGCCTTGGAGGATGAGGCAAAAAAGGGTACCCAGAATTTCCCTGGCGGAAGAAACCAAAAAAATCACACCGGATGAAAGAAGGAAAGGGTCAAAACGACCGACGAGGCATGAAGGAAATAGGCCTATTGAGGATATCTAGAGAATTGTTGTGAGGTGTACGACTCGTAGTGATCATGAAACTTGGGTAGGTTGAAAACGGGCGACAAAAGAAAAGACCAGATGCTATAGGTCTTCATCAGGTTTCCTGTTGACCAAATCTTGATGTCAACCAACTGCTTCCAAGAAGTGAACTCATGGCAAGAGCTACCTGAGTTGAGGGGGCTGTCAGGACAGGAAGTAGCGACTCATGATTCGCCATGTTCCGTGTGGTGGGTAGCCACCCTCCTTCCTCACAAATGTTGTCGAATGAAAAAGTTGAAGAGAAAGTCATTGCCAGGTTGATAAACACAATGACGCAGGGACGGTTAAGGGTTTGGACCCTTCCTTCATCGCGACCGGTACCGTCCCATGTGCCATGTGCTATACTAAAAAGTACCCTTGGCAGTTGGCACTGGTCCTGGATCGCACGGACCTTATCCAGATTCCATATTCCCCAAGAGTGCCACTCGCAAACCCCGGATTTTCCATGCAACTGGGACAGGCACAGGGACCGCTTGGGTGGGGGTTTGACCTTGTCCGGTTCCACTATTAGGGCATTTTCACGTGCTGATGTCTTGACCGTTGAGCGGCCCAAGAGGAAGAACTCTGGTTCGTGGTTTGAGAATATGAAGACATACACGTTCTGAAGAATGATTAGATAGTCTCTGTTTCAACTCGGATAGATAGCCCCACTGCTCACTTGTGTTTCCCTGGGGCATCCAATCAATCCCTTTCTTTTTCAGCAACTCATCCTTGGTTGAAATGGTGGTCAACTTGCCTGCTGCTTTGACAAAATGCTGTCATGCTACGTACGTTAAAAGGTATCATTCAAGATCCGACATCAAAAAAAGCAAGAGAAAGAGATTTGGTTCACTCCGTCTACCCAGACAACAACTCCCCCTTTATCTGAACCTCGCGCGGAGCGGCCCATTACCTCTCCTTGGCACACTAGCTCGGCGCTGAATTCGGACCCATCCAAAGTGAGATAAATATCGAAATAGACACGATAGAAGGTACCCTGTGGTGTGTCCATACGTTCGAAATCTTTCTCGAGATTCTTGCGCGAAAGGTCCGATGTGAGCGTAACCACTTCCTTGATCCCTATTTCCACACTGTCAGTATTCGTCCATGGTCAAACAGTAGCGCCAATGACTTACTTGGATCTTTGGTATACTCGGGGCAGACATCATCGTCGCAAGCATACAAGATATCTTCGTACATGAGTGTAGCACCAGGTGCCACTTGACGGAAGAAGGAAACCTTGACCGGCTCGCCGATTTTGACCTTCTGTCCCTTCTGAACGAAGATCTGTCGCGTAAACTTGCATCGATCCTTGCCATCTAGCGAGGGAACACGGTACGCCTCAGGATGGTAACCCTCCTTGAAGGGTTGAAGAGTAGCCATGAGGTAGTGGCGACGAGCAACACGGTGAGTGATGACTCTTTCAGTGATACCAGCCGTAACGGCACCCTTGACAATGGCAGCGACCGAGTCCATGGGGCGGACAACCTTGGACTGGAATTGCGGGGGAACGTGGAGCTTGATCTGTTGGAAGAGGTATTCCGACGCGCCGAAACCGCCAACAACAAGGATGTTCTGCAGTGTGCGATTCTGCGCTTGGATGGCAATGATTTGGTTTCTGACAAGCTCCAAGATGCGGTTTACTACCGGCTCGAAGCATTGCAGAATTTCCTCGTTAGTGAACGTCATGTAACCTTCTTCGATGCCTGCTTCAGGAAATTCAGCTTCGATACCAACATCGACAGCCCACTTCTGACCGTTATTCCGGAAGTCGGCCTTGATTCGGTTCTCGAAGTCCATGATGCACTTGGCGTAGACGCGACCGGCAGTCTTGGATCCATCAGGAAGCTTCATCTTTCTGATCTTGGTCCGCAGAATGTTGCTGAAGTTTCGGTTCAGAGCAGTCGAACCGCACGAGTCACCAGAACCAGCAGTGCATTCTGCTACAGTGAACGGATTCTCGTCCTCGACTTCATATGCGATCAAATCCACTGTTCCACCACCGCAATCAACAATGAGAACCGCATCGTGTACCTTGAGGTTAAGAAGGCCTGTCTTGGAGCAGAAGAGCGCTGCGGCTTCGGGCTCACTGACCAGCGTTAGACGGTTGTCGTTCTCATCGCGGAGGAAGCCTGCCTGAATAGCGGCAGCTCGCGTCGCGGCCTTTCCAGCGTCGTTCCAAATAGCGGGTACGGTAAGATAGTAGCGGATGTTCCTCTCTTCACGGTTGAAGACTTCACCCAGGGTCTTCTGGAGCGCGGCGCGCATGGCCTGGCGGAGCTTGAAGAGATAGTCGGCGGCAACATCGATTTCCGACTTTCCAGGGGGAAGGGGTGGCAGGTTGATAGGATCGATATATGTGTTGCCAGACAACATGAGCTGGAGCTTGAACCACTCCACCTTTTGCACGCCAGGCTTTGGGTAACCAGTCGGTGCTAGGGCATCGGCGATATCGGGGCCCCATCCAACAACCTTCTGGTATTGATCATAATAGAGAACAGTAGGAATCTAGGGGGAGAGTATGTTAGTGTCATGGTCCATGCTGAAGGTACCACAACCATGGGAGGTTAGCGAACCTTTTGCTTTGTGTAAGAGCCAGCGCCGGGCCACTCTGTGATGATGTCCTCCTTGGCCTCGTTGTTGGTAGCAAAAGCGAAAGCGACACCGGAGAAGGTAGTACCCTGTGGTTACTAGGTTAGTAACTGGCGCGAGAGGAGAGTATAGGTCCAGATGACTTACAAAATCGATACCGACGATGAGCTGAGCCTTGCTACGACTGTTGCCCTCCACCTCGGCAGCAGCGTTCCCGCGATAGGGAGCAACGGGGCCGGTAGGCTGGGGCGGCGGAGGATATCCTTGAGCACCAGCATATCCCGGCGGGCCTCCTTGCAGAGGAGGAGGACCACCGCCCATGTTGACGGGCGGAGGATAGCCGGAGACAGGGGGAGCCCCGGTGTTGATGGGCGGGGGACCGCCGACCATTTGCGACGGCGGCGTGCGGGTCGGGCCTTGGTTCGTCAAAGGGCTGGTCCGGCCAACGGGACCGGGAGGGCCTGGGGGGTAGTTTGCGGAGTAGCTGGGCGGCCGTGGTCCGGCACCTGGATGATTCATTTGAGGGAGACTCTGCTGGGAGGAGTTGGAGGCGACCGAGGGCGCAGGACCCGGGCGAGACTGGAAGAGCTGAGGTAATTGAGGGGCTGCTCCGGGGGGCAGGGTGGGCGACTGCTGCTGATCAGGATTCGGCTGTATGCTGGCGGTCGATTTGCGTTTGCCAAAACCAAAGCCTTTCAGGCGAGAGTTCGAAAAACTCATATGGGAGGACCGCCGAGGATATTAGGATTAGGAAGGAGAAAGGACACGAGGGGAAGGAGAAGGACTGCAAGCAAGCAAAGCAAGCAAGCAGGCGACCGAAGGGTGGGATGGATGGATGGATGGATGGATGGATGGATGGATGGACGGCCGGGCTCTAGCTCGAAGAGGCGCAAGCAGCAAAGTGCAAAGAATGGACGGGGACGGGGACGGGAACGAGAGGACCGCAAAGCTGAATGAGTGGGCAGATGGCGACCGGAGGACTGGAGGGAGCGAGAGCTGCGAGACAGCGCGAGAGGCAGATGGCAGAGGCAGAGGCGGGCAGGAGTGAGAAATTAGGACACAAGAGACAGGCGTAGCAGGGTGTCAGGTTGCAGTGGCTTTGTGTGGAAGAGGGGCCTGCAACTGCGCTGTCTGGCTTGTTGTTGTCTTGTCTCTGGCTGAGCCTGCCTGCGACTCCGTCTGGGCGAGTAATCCGTACTCCCGTGTTCGTGACTTTTTGTGGTGAACCACCCAATCGAATTTTGTAAGATTCGGACGAACTCGGTGCAGCTGTCCATGTGAGAGAGTCCTTTGCAACTAACGGGCACAAAGCTGGAGGCGGAGGTGATGATCAATTGATTAAATGCGAGTCCAGGTGTCAAGGGATGTTGAAGTGAAAGGACTCCTCTGTTGGGCTGCCGTGAGACGGAAGGACTTCAAAACAGTGCACCTGGCTCGCCTGGGACGGGAGCAGCGACTACAGTCGCCGCGCGGTGGGAGTGGAGGTGTGGCCGGGATCGTAATGCCTGGATGGGCAGCGCGGAAAAAGACGAGCAGTGAGTGGGCTGGCGGGCAGTGGCAGTCGGGCACCCTCTCAGGGCAGCGACAAGAGTGGACGGACAGGTGGGGTGTTGGATTCTTCGTCCAATAAATCTACAGCTGAGGCGCTAGCAATGAACTAGGATGCTGGGTGGGAGTGTAAGGCTGAGCTCCCGCTACAACAAATAGTTAAATCCCGAGCTGGCAATCACCAAGTTTTGGTGTTGATTTTGTAGCGGGTGGTGAGTTGAGGGGTGGAATCGACCGGTGCCAACCAACGTCAACATGTACTCACACCAATATCGTCATCCTGAACGGATGAATTCCAAGGGCCAGGAGATCGACCGCCAGATGTGCCATGAGCGGACCATGAGATGATTTTTGGTATGGCCTTGGTCCGTGTGTCCATTGTCTGATTAGGAGATTTGACGGCTGAAGCAGGTCAACTGTCAACGCCTTGATTCTTGGACGCTGAAATGGCCCCAATTCGCTATATTGCTGTCCGTACTCTGAATGCTCAAGTTGAACCAGCATCCATGTGGGTTTATACATGAAAACCCAGATAGCCGGAAATTCAATTCCAGTTGGGGCTTGTGGTGATGAATAACATGGGACGAACTCGTGCCGTTGCTCTTCTCACAGTGCTCCTTTTACACTAGCTGTCGATTTGGTGCCCTCATACCTCCGTATGTAAGTACCTCTACCTTACAGCCGGGAGATTTCATGTTGTTTGGTTTTTGTTAGTACCAATGTCAGATATTGATCTCGGAAAAAAATCCTTCTTTCTTGGATTTCAGAGCTTGAAGCACCAACTCGAATCGTTTTTCCACTGCATCGCCTTCAATATTCTCTTCAGGCCCGTTGTCATAACAGTGTCTTTAAAGTGGGGCGACATGAAGCCGTTGGTGAGAGATACACGCTGCCAAGACCGCGCCTAGTGGAAGATTGATAATAATAAGGTAACACATGGAACGCCACCTTCCCCTCGTGCACCTTGTCCCATCGTCCCTCTGTTTGCTCATGAGCCTTTCATTCCCCCAATCTGGATTTTTGTGTCGGCGCACTCTCAGCCATTGCCATTGATTCAATCCAGAAGTTCGTCAACAATCACCAGCACATCAAAGCTGGAAGTGAAGTTACGAAGTTATTCACATTAGAGAACAACTTTTCTGCTCACTCTCTCCCAAGTCCCACGCCTGAAGTGTGAATGGGGTCACTTGGTTGTGCCTGACCTAGACCCGAAATGGTCAAGCCTGCGAGCCTGGGTAGGACTTGCGTCCTCGTAGGACTTTTGCTGTTGAAGCGGCTCCCAAAAAGTCAAGAACTACACTATTCATTTGCTATTGGTGGTATCAATCCAGACTACGGTGGCTGAGTACCTGGTCCTGTGTCTGCTTGCTCCATTCTGGCCAATAGCAACCGTGGAATCACTCTCCACGACAAATTGTTGTGACTTCTCCTTCTCGTCTGTCACACTCCTGCCCAAAGCTCAGCCGCAACCCTTCTGGTTGTAATGTGGGCTTCTCCATTCAACTGGTTGGTCGGCTGGTGGGGAGAGCAAAGGGACATCATCAACACCGTCTCGGCCGTTGGTTTTCAACACGGATGTGAACCTTACACCGTCGGGTTGGTCCGCGGGTGTCTGTCCGTTTGCCCAAGATGCGGAAGCGCCACTCCCGCCATACCGCGCGCCAGTAGGAAGCCAACGTGAGCAGACTTCGTCGGTTCAGATCTTAACACGTCCCGGCTACCTTCATTCTTTACGGTAGAGAGGTTCTGTTACGATCCCGAAAATCTCCATTCACTTATATCGGAAACACTGCCGACCCCATGAGCTGCTCCGGACGGAAAGTTTCGATTGCCGTCCATGGTATCCACGTGTCTCCGGCCGGTGCCGGTCCCGATCCCCACCCCCCCGGTCTTATACGTGCCTCGTTGAAGAGCCTCATTTCCCGAAGAAGCTCAATCTGGACGTCGTCCTTCAGTTCAGCGTCTCTGCTGCCTCGGGTGTCACGACCCTGAACCCGAATACGCCATACCGAGGACTAGGTACAACTGTGCACGGTAACCTTGAACCTCGCCCGGTCAGAACATGTTTGTTGTCCTCATCATCCGCAAGTGCAGACCCCTTTGATTTCGTATCAACGTGCAATCACAGTCAAGCATCACCGACGGTGAACAATCAAGGGCTCAAAAGTCGGGTCTTTCCCAATCTCTCAGTCTGAGATATCTATCTCTATCGCAAGTGCTGCCAGTGGATGAAAATACGGGTGCCTAAAAATCGTCCTGGATCGGCCCTTATCTGCCAGAATTGGGTTGGTGCTGACTACGACTCCGACTATACCCAATGAAACAAGGCGCTGGAAGATTACAATAGGGCGGCTCCTGATATATTCAGCTTTTTACCCCTGGTGCGCGCAGACGACGTGGATAACTCCCGTCGTACATGTGCAACGGTGCCAGATCCACCGGAAACACTGCTGGGTCGACTCTGTCGAGTCCACCAAAGGATGAGAATCTTGCATCTGGCCAACAACATCCTCATGCGATAAACCTCGTATAGGTGCCGTCGACCGTGATCCCCAGATTTCCGATTGTGCCGGATCGACTACCTGCCTGTGGAAGCATATCCGACAATTATTGTACAAATCGGAGCGGCATCGGGATGGACGGTCTTCAAGTTGTGGGTAACAAGCGGGCCGGAGAAGATGCGCCCGAGGTGGTTTACATGAGAGGCGATGCACCGGAGGTAGTTCCGGGGGCTGCACCTGAAGTGGTGCCTTTAACAACTTTACATGCTGAGAAGTCGACCGTAGGCCTGACGGCCGCACCCTACGGGTATCACCACTCACCTTCAACCTCACCGGCGCCACCCGAAAGCCAACCGTTATTCTACCCGCCAGCACATCTTCAACCAGGTCAATATGGGGACTCACCGGACATGTACGACGGGTCGCAGATGAGCTATCCTCCATCGCAGGCCGGACGTTCCACGGGGCCGCCAAAGAAGAAGAACGAGAGAATTTGCGGTATAAAAAGGACTCTTTTTCTCATCCTACTTGCCGGTGGAGGTCTACTTCTCATGGGGATTGCGATAGGCGTAGGAGTGGGAGTCGGCGTTGGGACCAAAAGCGATAGCGCCGAAGCGTAAGCAAATTTCATCTACATGTCACTCATGAACTTGCCCGGACTGACAGAAAACTCCAGGAGGGCCACACCAAGTACAACACCCACAGCTACCTCAAGCACCCCAGCAGGACCAACCAACTGTCCAGACGTAGGCGAGAGGACGTATCTCACCAAGAACGACAAGAAATTCCTCCACACGTGTGGAATCGATTATGGCGGCGACAACGAGGCCCACGACCTGACGAACGCAAAGACAACGACCTTTGACGAGTGCATCGAGAAGTGCTCGACAACTGAAGGGTGTACGGGGGCGGGATGGGAAGACCTCCAGGACGACGGGCAAAACAAGTATCGCCGGACGTGCTGGATGAAGAGTAACTTGCAAAAGTCGCACAACGCGGAGATGAGCTACAGCTTTGCCGTGCTGGTTGAGTGAAGGGGGAATAAGGGTTTTATAGCACCGAGCACGAAGATATGAGGTGCCCTCAGGAGTATCCATCGACCCGCAACTCGACCCCGATGGATCTAAAATCCTTACGGGTTAAAACCGGAGGGCCTGTTTTATGAAGGAGCGAGCCATTGAGAGGACACATCGGAATAGAGTTGACGGGAGATCATTCAGTTCCTCAGGGATCTGATCGCAGACCGCCACTGCGCATGTTCAGCTATGAGAGGTTCTGTTTCAGTATAAAGTATAGGTCAAAGGCGAAAGAGGGCAGTTTAATGCCTGGAAGAGGATATACCACGAGGAAATACGGCTGGGGATAATGAATACAGTTAATGCACCGGGGGTTGATGAGGGTAACACGTGTGCTACCGCCAGAAAAATCAAACTTACCTTACTTATTACCATGTCGATGGGTGGTTGCATCCCATAGGGAGGTCGTAGAACTGTTTCCACAAGCCTTTTAGCAGACTCTACCCAGACGAGTGATGCTCAAAATTGCTGTGACCGCTGTTATGTGTGATGCTCGTGATGTGACATCACCGCCCCGAATCCCACACGGTGACAACTGCCGAGGGGAAAGGCCTGGACCGCCGGCGTGAGAGCGAGCTATCGGAGCAAGAAGACCACTGCAACCTCCGCGTCACTGCCCGACGGCGCCGTCAACAATGTCGGGTGTACCGGTGTAACAAGTCTTTGGTGGAGCCCGTCCCCATCCGGCGTTCCACGCGTCGGGGTGAAATATTTGACGTGCCTCGCGCGGTGTGCGACTGCGTGGAAGCTGAGTCGTTCCCCTCGTCTCCCTGGACTTCTTGGCCAGTTGGAAAAGGAAAGTCATCAAGGTTCCCTTCTTGAGACAGTGACGTTTGTGACATCTCGTTTTAGTCTGCTACAACAACACTACAACAACACAAGAAGCGGGTTTCCATCCCGCAAAGCTCTCCCCAGAGTTCCATCGTCGTGTGCTCATTCCACCACTTCCTCACGTTTTTCCCCAAGTTTTTGTTCGCGGGGTCACCACAATTTGACCGAACTTCCCCAATTTCTGGGGGATGATTTGTTTGGGGGAGAGACCTGGAGACGTGGGAGAGAGCACCACACATCACCCACATCTCCACTGTTGTCGGCCCGTATACGCCATGTCCACACGGGGAAGCACACGCTAGGAGCAAAAGAGACCAGGTACCCCGTCAGCCCGTGGGCCCGGAGGTGCCATCGAAACCCAGAGAATCTCCACATCTACATCAAGGCATCGCGCCGCTCGCTGCCAGTGTCACCGAACCCGCCGTGCTTGGG